GCGGTACAGTATATACACCTTCATCCTGTCATCCCTGGTACGGTACACTATATACACCTTCATCCTACCGTCCCAGGTAGGGAGAGGGCGGTACAGTATATACACCTTCATCCTACCGTCCCAGGTAGGGAGAGGGCGGTACAGTATATACACTTTCATCCCACCGTCCCTGGTAGGGAGAGGGCGGTACAGTATATACACCTTCATCCCGCCGTCCCAGGTAGGGAGAGGACGGTACAGTATATACACCTTCATCCCGCCGTCCCAGGTAGGGAGAGGGCGGTATAGTATATACACCTTCATCCCGTCATCCCTGGTAGGGATAGGACGTTACAGTATATACACCTTCATCCTACCGTCCCAAGAAGGGAGGGGGCGGTACACTATATACACCGTCCCATGTAGGGAGAGGGCGGTACTGTATATACACCTTCATCCTGTCATCCCTGGTAGGGAGAGGACGGTACACTATATACACCTTCATCCTACCGTCCCAGGTAGGGAGAGGGCAGTACAGTATATACACTTTCATCCCACCGTCCCATGTAGGGAGAGGGCGGTACAGTATATACACCTTCATCCTACCGTCCCAGGTAGGTAGAGGGCGGTACAGTATATACACTTTCATCCCACCGTCCCATGTAGGGAGAGGGCGGTACAGTATATACACCTTCATCCTGTCATCCCTGGTAGGGAGAGGACGGTACACTATATACACCTTCATCCTACCGTCCCAGGTAGGGAGAGGGCGGTACAGTATATACACTTTCATCCCACCGTCCCTGGAAGGGAGAGGGCGGTACAGTATATACACCTTCATCCTACCGTCCCAGGTAGGGAGAGGGCGGTACAGTATATACACTTTCATCCCACCGTCCCTGGTAGGGAGAGGGCGGTACAGTATATACACCTTCATCCTGTCGTCCCTGGTAGGGAGAGGGCGGTACAGTATATACACCTTCATCCTGCTGTCCCAGGTAGGGAGAGGATGGTACAGTATATACACCTTCATCCCGCCGTCCAGGTAGGGAGAGGATGGTACAGTATATACACCTTCATCCCGCCGTCTCTGGTAGGGAGGGGGCGGTACACTATATACACCGTCCCATGTAGGGAGAGGGCGGTACAGTATATACACCTTCACCCCGCCGTCTCTGGTAGGGAGAGGGCAGTTCAGTATGTAGTACTTTTTACTTGCCATCTCATGTAGGTTACATTTTGAAATGTGATGTAAGGTGCTTTTTGTGTCTTTTGCATGATCTTTTCAGAAGCCATTATTTACTGTCCATCTATCTTTTGTACCATACAACAATGGATGCTCTGTCTAACTTTAATACAAAAGCTTTAATTACGTTTTCAAATTTAATCTTGATCACTGATAGCAGTTTTACATAATGTTTGTTTCACAACCATTTAGATACATGAAAAGCATTCATTCTAAGGTACCAGAAGTAAATCTACTGTTCAGAGCAGGTGGGATGTGCTACCTACATAGTGTACCTGTATACAGGAATAGACAATGACACTATTGTATAACTTTTAACTTAAGTGGCACCTGTCATATCTTCCTTTGCTTGTGACATCACAGGGAAAACTGGACATTTTAAATTTCAAAAGAAAAACAGTGTTTTTTTTCCTTTTAGAGTAATCTTCAATTAGCAACTAATTAACATTTGTTTAGCTAGTGATTAAAAAAAAGCAGCTCAGTTTTGTTCTCTTCAACAAATTTAATTTCTCAAAGAAACTGAATTAAAAGATAACAATATTGAAACACTGAAACATGAACTACTATGAACATAACCAAACGCTGATTTACATAGCAAGCTTTGTATTTTTCACAGCAGGTTTTGTAAATAATTGGTGTGTATAACGGTTACCTCCCTTGACCTCAAGATGAACCATGAAGTGTTTTAATACCAACATTAACAATTCACAGTGACTAAAGCAGCCAAATATCTTGATTTATGGTGGGCTTTACGTTACCTTACACTAACGGGTAATCGGGTAGCGCAGTCATAACATTTCTGTCGTTCATCTAGCTGTCCTGGGTTTGGACATGCAAAGGGATGGTATCACCTGCTCGATCATGTGGGTTTTCCCCAGGTACTCTGGTTTCCTCCCATAGCAAGACCCTCTGAGCACTTCCATTTGGGCCAACACGAGTGATTAAAAAAGTAATTGCTTGTTTTGCAATTGTTGTAAAATAAATAAAGTTTATATTCAATCAATAGAAAATCAGAAAGTCACAAAAATGTTAAAGTTCAAGGTTTTTCAACCGATTTATGTTTAAAAAAACCCAAAAACACCATGTTGAGCAAGCTAGTACAATGATCCTTTTCTCCAAACACTATCAAATGCTTTTTAAGTCCACAAATCCGTTTGGATTGAGAATGTTTAATTAATAATTTAGTTCTATTGCTTTTTTCAAAAACCTAATTGGGTAATAAGTTTGAATTTTATAGTATTTAACAAAAAGACTCAAAGTATTAATATGCAAAATATTACTATCTTTTGAATATTAATACTTTGAGTCTTTGTTTTTTAAATACGCAAAAAAAAAATCATTGTGACCACTCTGAAAGTTAATATCTCTATAGTTTGTTGGCAAATCTGGTTCTCTAAAGTATAAACAAGAATAAAGAATAATTTATTTTACAAGGCTGAATAACAGCACGAAAACAATAGCTTGTAAATACAAGTACTCTGTAGTTTGCTGATGAAGGAAGCAGAACATCTAAAGACTAACTCATTGCTGAAGTAATCAGCAGCTGTACCCAGCAACATTCACATCTTGTATTTATTTTTCTTGTAGTTAAAGGTTAATTGTTAAAGTTCAGTTTGGTTACAAATGTTCGGTACTTGAGGCCAGATTTTCAATCATGTCATTATACTGGTTGATTGTTAAGACTTTAGTTCGGTTTTTTTATATAGGAGGCCAGATTTTCAATCATGTCATGATTTTAAAGACACATAACAAACTCATGCCAGCTAAAAACTGGATCTTCAGCAGTGTTATTCGAATCAAGTGATTTCATTACTCGCTACAACTGCTTCTACATGTCTTTATTGGTAATATCAACTTGATTGAGTAAATCTTATCTATATTCTTTGTTTCTTTTCTACATATTTTTTAGTTGTCCATACATATAAATGGATTAAAGCTTTAGTAAGGCTTATATGCCCATCATATTTAAACTGATTAACACCCGGACGATTTAGTTTCCTTAAGAGACAAAATAACTCTTGATTTGTCCAAAGTGCGCTTTACATTCGCTGTTTTTCAGTTTTTTTCTTTGGAAACATACATTTATATTGTAGTTGATCTAACGTGTTTGTTATACGAGATGTAGCTTTCTCAATACTATTCAAAGTGTGTTAATGGTTTGTATCTCTAGTATAACATATATAATAGTTGTGTCCATCCATATTTTAATTAATTGCCTTTTTAATTTTTCTGTCAGCAGCACATCACACCTGTATAACACTGTATATGCGACCTATTGGGATTGTTAAATATTTCACAGGTAAGTTATTATCTGATCAGACATGCATGTTGGCTCTTCCACAAAAATTAATTCACCGAGGAAAGCTGACTATTGCTACTCAAAACTTAACATACTACACACATTATACATGATACTAGTAAAATTTCCATGTACATTATCTAAGAACCTACCATTTAATATCCCTAGCCTTTAAAACTATTGTTACTCAAAACTTAACATACTACTCACATAATACTTAATACAAGTAAATGGCTTCACTTAATCATGGAGGGGTTCATTTCACCATTATGGTATTTTGACCCCGGTTCATTTCACCATTAAGGTATTTTGACCCCGGTTCATTTCCATCATTATGGTATTTTGACCCCGGTTCATTTCCACCATTATGGTATTTTGACCCCGGTTCATTTCCACCATTATGGTATTTTGACCCCGGTTCATTTCCACTATTATGGTATTTTGACCCCGGTTCATTTCCACCATTATGGTATTTTGACCCCGGTTCATTTCCACCATTATGGTATTTTGACCCCGGTTCATTTCCACCATTATGGTATTTTGACCCCGGTTCATTTCCACCATTATGGTATTTTGACCCCGGTTCATTTCCACCATTATGGTATTTTGACCCCGGTTCATTTCCACCATTATGGTATTTTGACCCCGGTTCATTTCACCATTATGGTATTTTGACCCCGGTTCACTTCACCATTATGGTATTTTGACCCCGGTTCATTTCCACCATTATGGTATTTTGACCCCAGTTCATTTCCCCGTGCTTCACAATACCATGCTACTTCGAGATTAAAATACTATTATGATGAAGTGAATAACAGTAGGACTGAATAACATTAACTGATATATCCAACACTAACAACACTGATACATTTTAGAAAAAATATTTAAGAGTTGTTTCCCTTCGTATGTCTTTGCTGATTGAAGATGTACATATACATGCATGCTCCCCCTCTTCAGATAAAAATTCTTGTTTTATTTTAAATTGTTGTTTCTTTGCTTAATCTTCGCGACAAGAGTATGAGTGAAACTGATGATGCTCACCAATAACAGCTGTATTGGGTACGAAAATTCTGACAAAGGAACACTACACATCTTCTAAGTATGGCCAACGTATACACCAAGTCATATTATCTTTGTCTAAATGAGAGAAAAGTATTGTTACAAATGAAATTTAAACAAAGGGCAATAATTATGTACATGTTATTAAGGAGTTGCATGCTAAATTTCGTACACTGCACATTATTTTATTATGGCCAAGTGAACATTAAGTTTCATTATCTTAGTTTAAATGCAAGCAGTTTAAAGTTGAAAAATGGCAATAACTCTGTAATCAAGGTAATTAAGGGGCTGTGGGACCTGCATCAAAATCATAAGTGAAACTAAGGTGGCATATTGTGCATTGTTCACTGCAAAGATATTCATATTGGACATTTTGAATCATCTTTTATTTCAGAAATTGGTCCTACAGTTCTGTTTTTAAGTGTTGTAAGTTTTAATATTCCATAATTGTGGTGTCTGACCCCGTTTATCCTCCGCCATAACATCGGCCCCTTCCTGCAAGAGCATTTCTGTTATTTCTTTTCTTTTAGCCTTCACAGACAAGTGTAAAGGTGTTTCACCTTCCAAGTCCCTGGCATTGACACATGCACCCATTTTTAACAATTGCTTTACCAATTCACAATCATTCTGGCTAACTGCAAGGTGTAGGGGTGACTTTGAAAAATAGTTTGCTATGTTTACACTAACATTTCTTTCCAACAGTAGATTTACCAGTTCTGTGGAACAGTTACTGATTGCACAGCATAGGAGGTCTTCATGAAATAAATCAGACTGTTCAATATCTGCTCCGTGATCCAGAAGACACTTGCAAACAGCAGTATTTGAGCATGAAACTGCTTGATAAAGAAGTGTTTTCTCGCCATCAGGCTTAAAGTTTGGATCAGCTCCTTTTTTCAAAAGCAACTCAATTTGTTGCTCCAAAGAGTTCCAATATTTAGCTGATGCATGCTGTCTACGGGTATGCTTCATGGAACATTTAACAGCTAAGCTAAGAGGCGACAAGCTGGTAGATACTTCCCTTACCGAAGCACCATATTCAATCAGGTTTTGTACAATTTTTACATCACCTTTGCTAATGGCATACATAATTGCAGTTTGATCCCTTTTGTCAATCAAATTGACAGCAGCTCCTGCCTCTAACAATACTTTTGTAATGTTTCGAATCTGATCCTGAGGACTACGATTGTTTCGACATAACCACATAAGTGCTGATCTTTCAGATTCATCACAAATATTTAGATCAGCCCCATTTTCTAATAAGGCCCGTGTTAATCTGAACAATCTCACATGACAACTCCATGCTAACAGTGCAATCTTCTCGCCATTGGCATATTCTATAATCTTGTCTTTAGAGCATTCTTCCATGAATATTTTCAGAAACTGCTTATTGGCAAGAGCGGTATGAGAGAATATGTCCTCTACGTTGTGTTTTCTTAGCTCCTGACACATCCTTACAGCTAAATTAGGATAGTCAGCATGCTCCAAAATGATGACATGTTCGCCATTGTTTTTTTGACTTATTTTCACATGACTTCTGAGAAATGTACTAGAACAATATGTTAACAAAATTTCTGTTGATTCCTCCCCCAAGATAAATGTAACTGTATCTTGAAATAAAGAATGCAAGAAAGAATATGAATTATCATTTTTCAATAGATAAACACCATTCAAAGCATCCAGGGCATTAACCAATTTTCTTAATTCTTTCTCACGATTGATTCCCAAAATATCCATAATTCTACTGACCTTTTCTCTCTTTGGAGATTCATCATGGAGGTCCCTAATAGAAAAATCATTACTATATACAGCACACAATGCTAAGACACAGAAATGGGGAGGGTTCCTTTCTCGTATTCGGACAAATGTGTCTTTGATTACACTGAATGGTGAAGAAAAAAATTCTGCTGCGTTTTTACGTATAGTTCCAACTTTACAAAATGCATGACAAAGTAATGGAAAACAATGTAGATTTGGCATCTGCAGTGCAACTTCCTCATTACGACCAGATTTAGATAGATAGTGAGCAAGCATGTCTTTTCTTTCTTGTTCTGACAAAGCATTATCTTCATCAGTCAAATCTATAACATGATGTTGTGAAGATAGCAATGTGTTGCTACTCGATACATATTTATCGTTGATAATTTCAGATCTAACTGCAAGGATAAGTTTTGTTGTAGGTTCTGTATGACTTGTAATGCAGTGCTTGATAGACTGATCATACTTCTCCAACTTTTGTACACCAACTAAACTTACGCATTCTCTACCTATAGGGTCATCTATGATAAACACTTGTTTTCTGGTGTCGTCCCAATAATAAATAATTTCTGATATCTTATTGCATGGGTATACAACAAATCCTTCCTGCTTTAAAGACATAGCAGCATATCGCAAAGCTGTTGATTTTCCACTTCCTTGAGGACCTGTGATAATCACCAAGTTGTTGTTCTTTGATGCATTCTGCACATTTTGTAAACCTTTTGTTATAAATATATCCTTTGTCTGCTGTTCCCATATGAGCATTGTTGTCTTCATGATTTCTACAATTAAAGAATGAATACTTTTCTATACTTAAAAATCATTTTCAGTCATAAAGTAAAGAAAAAACTCGTAGGTTGAAATATTAGTTCAGAAAATGAAAATTATTCTGCTTACCATGTGAAAGAACAAGAGGCCTTGCAACTTTGACAGACATCTGAGAAACATTATTGAATGTCAAGGTTATAGGGTAAGATGCTTATATAGTCAGCGTTATTCTGAAAACTTCCAATTTTCCTATACAAACAAAAGAAAAAATTCACACACTCCCAAGAGGGAAAAGAAAAACAGAAAATTTACATTTTTTGTAAATTGGTTAATTTGAATCAATTTGACTAATTTTAGTCCTGCCAATTTGGCCCTTGGGGGTAGGGGGACCATATCATTCACTATTTTGATTCATCTTTGGACAGGGAAGATTTCTGCAAAATTTCATTGAAATCGGTTCAGGGGTTCCTGAGAAGTCGAAAATGATCAAATGGACAAAAGACAATCAATATAGGCCACTATGAGACTTCATCTTAGGTGACATCAAAGATAAACATGTAATGATCTTTATACCAGTACTATATAAGTATATATACTTACTTGTTAGATCGTTATACCTGTAGTTATATAAGTATATATACTTGTCAGATCTTTATACCTGTACTATATAAGTATATATACTTACTTGTTAGATCTCTATACCTGTACTATATAAGTATATATACTTCCTTGTTAGATCTTTATACCTGTAGTTATATAAGTATATATACTTGTTAGATCTTTATACCTGTACTATATAAGTATATATATACTTGTCATCTTTATACCTGTACTATATAAGTATATATACTTGTCATATCTTTATGTACTACAGAAGTATATATCTTTATACCTGTACTATATAAGTATATATATATATACTTGTCAGATCTTTATACCTGTACTATATATACCTGTATATATATACTTGTCAGATCTTTATACCTGTACTATATAAGTATATATACTTACTTGTACTATATATGTATATATACCTGTACCTGTGCTATATAAGTATATATACTTGTCAGATCTTTATACCTGTACTATATAAGTATATATATACTTGTTATAGTACTATATATCTATATATACCTGTACTATATAAGTATATATACTTACTTGTCAGATCTTTATACCTGTACTATATATGTATATATACTATACTAGATCTTTATACCTGTATATAAGTATATATACTTACTTGTCAGATCTTTATACCTGTACTATATAAGTATATATATATATACTTATATAAGTATATATACTTGTTATCTTTATACCTGTACTACATAAGTATATATACTTGTCAGATCTTTATATATACTGTATAAGTATATATACTTGTTAGATCTTTATACCTGTACTATATAAGTATATATACTTACTTGTACCTGTGCTATAGATCTTTATACCTGTACTATATAAGTATATATACTGTGCTATATGTGTTAGATCTTTATACCTGTACTATATAAGTATATATACTTACTTGTCAGATCTTTATACCTATATATGTATATATACTATATATAGATCTTTATACCTGTAGTTATATAAGTATATATATACTTTATACCTGTCTATATAAGTATATATAGATCTTTATACCTGTACTATATAAGTATATATATACTTATCTTTATACCTGTACTACATAAGTATATATACTTGTATCTTTATACCTGTACTATATAAGTATATATAGATCTTTATACCTGTACTATATAAGTATATATACTTGTTAGATCTTTATACCTGTACTATATAAGTATATATACTTACTTGTCAGATCTTTATACCTGTACTATATAAGTATATATACTTACTTGTCAGATCTTTATACCTATACTATATAAGTATATATACTTGTTAGATCTTTAAGTATATATATACCTGTACTATATAAGTATATATATATAAGTATATATACTTGTCAGATCTTTATACCTATACTATATAAGTATATATATACTTGTTAGATCTTTATACCTGTACTATATAAGTATATATACTTCCTTGTTAGATCTTTATACCTGTAGTTATATAAGTATATATACTTGTTAGATCTTTATACCTGTACTATAAGTATATATACTTACTTGTCAGATCTTTATACCTGTACTATATAAGTATATATACTTACTTGTTAGATCTTTTATACCTGTACTATATAAGTATATATACTTACTTGTAGATCTTTATACCTGTACTATATAAGTATATATATCTTTATACCTGTACTATATAAGTATATATACTTACTTGTTAGATCTTTATACCTGTAGTTATATAAGTATATATACTTGTCAGATCTTTATACCTGTACTATATAAGTATATATACTTACTTGTCGGATCTTTATACCTGTACTATATAAGTATATATACTTACTTGTCGGATCTTCATTCCTGCCTACTTGTAAAGGTGGAGATGCATTGCCTGACAACAGATTAAAACAAAGAAATAAGTACACTGCTTTTTATACAATTTTACAAAAAGCATATGTAAATTACTTTGTTTACATATATGTTAAATTCTAGTAGTTTTATTTATCTTTAGTGTGTATGCCTTAGCTCCACCTTTATACATATAAAGAAATCCAATATGTTGTTTCTGTAATGATTCAATTTCTGTTCACATGAATGTTCCAAAGTTAATCTATATATCCATGTAAACATTTGTCTTTACTTTATCAAACACAGTCATCAATCTGTACAAAATGCATATGTTTTTAATAACCTTGTTAAAATTATTGAACATTTAGTTACCTAGGAATGCCTGTTACGTAAAAATCAACCCAAACTTTTACCGATTATTGAAGTATTTTTGTCTCCAACCATAGCAACATCACAAATGATCTTCAGATTTCCTAGGAGAAAAAAGAAAAATCTATGGAAAGCAAGTAGCATCGACAGATTTAGATTATATTAGCATTTGTAACAGCACTGTAAAGCAAAACCATAACAACCAACACTTAATAGAGAAATTTAATTCACACTTAATAGTATATTTTTAAACTCAAGCATGGCCAGGTAAGACATATATGCACTATAATAAAATGGTCACATGATGGTATACCTGTATATTGGGGAATAAATACCGTTTAGATATCAACAGTATTTAAACATATAAACAAAAGATCCCAGAAGGATCATGCCACCCACCATTGTTTCATCTATATTTGGTGTTTTAATGTAGGATCTTTTCCCTTCATTTTTCTTCGTTTGTTTTTGCTTTTTAATATATATTCATTATTTATTATTCATAAATCCCTCTTAGTAGTGATTAAACAAACAAAACAAGAAGAAAATACCAACATGCCAAATTAATCATAATCCAATCTCTAATTCAATAAAACAAAGGCAAAATATGAACAAAAGAAAGATGTACACACAGACACTTGAAAATGTACAAGGAGAGTAAGACCAGGTGTTCCCGAGGAGTCAGCATCTTCTGCTTCACCTGACATGTAAATCTAGGTCAATCCAAGCAAGTAATGTCAGGTTCTCAAATGAGAACAAATGGGAAAGCTCTTATAACAAGAGAATGAAGGCATTCTTTCAAATAAGGATAGGGTATGGTGGTGTATAATAGAGTAGAAAATTCAAATGTTCTTGAAGAAGTGTTTTTAGAAGAGGGCATTGAAGATATGTCAAAAGCTCTCTGGAGTTCGTTAAATTCCACATACAATTAATTCTACTTCATGGGTATCACAGTAAGACTGTAACCAAGATTTGTTTGTAATAAGAAGAGTAAGTAGATTTGACAGAGAGTTGGTTGAAGAGCTAGACAAGCCAGCAATTAATATACTATGGATCATTAGGAACCTACATATGAAAATGGGCAATTGATATATGGACCACAGATAAAGGATGATTTGAAGAGTCCGTCACCTGTGGATGGTGAGCTAAATCTTCTACATTATACTATTTTGTACATCGTGTTCCATAAAGTTTGCAGTTGAAGAAATATATTTCACAAACCTTTTTTCTTCTTTTTCTTCTTTTTCTTCTTTTTGGGATTAGTGATATCCATCTTCGTCACACAAGTGTCCTTATTTGAAAGAGAGATGAAATATTTGTAATATTTTCTGAAAAGTGCAGAATTTGTGTCGATTGCAGTAAAAGCAAAAGCCAAAAACATACTTTGAATAAAATTAATGACAGGGAACCATCGAAACTACACTTGTTGCTTTGTTTACATAGGACAGTGCATTATTTATTTGTGAAGCTATGTCATAAGCATTAGCAAAACGTTTATAAAGGGAGACATACCAAAATTTGTACATAAGAAACTATTGCTAACTTGGCACCCAAAATGTATGCTGCACTATTTACAAAGGAAGGTATGCTTATATTTCTGAAATAGAAAGTATCATTAAAAGTTGACAGGATATTATCGCAGAAATATTAACAAAAAATTATATATTCATTAAACATTTAGAAGCATTACTTCAATGTTAGATTAAAATATATATATATACAATGTTGACATTACAAACATCTAAACAATGTTGACATTACAAACATCTATATAATGTTGACATTACAAACATCTATACAATGTTGACATTACATTCATCAATACAATGTTGACATTACAAACATCAATACAATGTTGACATTACAAACATCTATACAATGTTGACATTACATTCATCAATACAATGTTGACATTACAAACATCTACACGATGTTTATATCTAAAGCATTATTATACTTTTAACATAAAAAATTATATTATATATCTTACCATTAAGGTTTCAGACTGTTGGAAATTACAAATCCATTGATAGGTTATTATAACCATTCCAACAACAACACAGCAAATTGCTACACCTGATAAAACAATCAGGCCTGGTTCATAGATCCAAGAATCTTGTGGGCTCTGGGACATTTTCTCTGTCATGACAGTCTGCAAAATGTGATACAGTAAAACCTCTGCAACAGACCTCCTCAAAATTGATAACAAATACGACATGACACCGGCTCCGCCAAGAAACGTGTATCAGGATTATAAGAAATATTCTATATCTCAAGAAAAAAAAATCCAACAAATTTCCAGTTTTCTGCAAAAATCTATTTAAATATTTGAAAATGCAGAGACTTTGAATTAACTTATAAGATAATATAGATTTCCTTTTATCAATGATTTTCATTTTTCGGGAGGTGAAAACTTGTATGCTACAAACTCAACCGTGAAATTTCCTGACCTTTTTTAAAATTGTAACCGTGGTAAAATACAAGCCGCAATATACCTCTCGGTTACAAAGAACTTTCCTTTAGCTTGATTGGTTGAGCGTCAGACTAGTAAGCCAAGGGTTCCGGGTCCGATTCCTAGTGGAGGCATTGAAATAAATAACGACATCTGTTACATTACATTGTAATATTACGGTTTTATTTCAGTATGTGTTATCCCTAAACAATGGCTTGGATAGAAAATACAAAAGTTTAACACAGATGAGAAACGACGTCTCATTCTATTTTGCTTTTATTATAATCGGTGCGACATATTGTTTGAAGAGAAGGACGATGGACGTCTGATGAAAAATGTTGGGAGCACAGACATTAAGCAAAATATAATCACTTACATGTTGTATGAGGGTTATGCCAAAGTGGGTATTTACGCCTTCCAAATAAAAGCACAGTAACACAACAATGTGTACAACGACATGCATAGTGACGCATGAAATTCGTATGTCAACAATAATATTGATCAAATAATACAAAATTACAAGTGGATCTTGTTGAAACGGTAACATTATATTTCTGACACGAATTCGCGAGTTATATAGTAATGGCATCAATGTTTTACTCACCAAAGATTAAGTCCAATCTTTGACCTACGATCTCGTTCCCTACATAGACACCCAGATTAAAGGTTTTTTTACACTTTAAGCTTCCTCTTTCGTTTTGTACACATTTCCACGACAGAGGAAGCACCTTTTTTGGTGACGTTGGGTAGGTACATAATCACGGAGGGGTGGGATCACCTTTTATTGTAAATGCTTGCAGTCCACATTTGTTGAGAATGAGTATCATTATATAGGCTGCGTCTATTTAATCCAAACATGTGTGTTTGTTAACTTAAAAATATAAAAATGAAAAATAACTTAATTACTTGCACAGTACGCATGTGCGTAAGGGACACGAGTTATTTTGTAATATTACTTGGGTATGCGTACGTTATGTATTGGAATGTATATATACAGAGACGATTTATATATACAAAGGCAATTTACATAGAGAGACATTTTATATACAGAGATATATAACGTCTCTGATATATACTTACGGGAAAAAAGAAAGTACTACACTGTATTTTTCTCATCGATAATTTAAAAAAAAAGATAAAATGATTTTTTTTATTAAATCTTGCTCGATTGGTTTGGTAAAAACTTAAACTTTTCTTTCGGAATTCTTGGGCATTGTCAGCGTTTTTATTTATTTATTTATCTATTCATAATTTATTTATTTTAACGTTTCGAACCTAGACAACTCATACCAAGATAACAGCATTTATTTCAGTATTTCAAATACTGTATCACAAAGTAATTGTTCCCTGAGAGAACTTTGCCATGGACGTTTCATAGATATGCTGGTTTTTTTTTTTGTTTTTTGTTTTTTGTATGCTAGAAGCATGCATATATCAGAATAATATGACAAGACATTTTAGGGTGTACATCAAAGCTTTGTGGAAACGTTTTCAGCAGAAGAAATTGGTACAGGACTGTCCAAGACCAGAATGTCTGTTGTGACGTCACGTCAGTAAAACATGTACTTTTAGTCCTTTTCATTGACAGCTGGAGGTATTTCCAGACTTTGATGGATCGTCTTCAACGTCACAGAGTCGAACGCTTAGCATAGTACAACAGATGAGTTCAGAGTTCATCTAACTTGACAACACACACAGTGACAGTGTTGTTCGGGTGTAACGTCGACCTGGAGAACGTTAAAATGACGTCATGCAAATCAGTATGACAGAGGGAGCATTATGTTTTGATGTTGTATCACAACGCATTCAAGGACCACTTTGATTAAAGTGAAAGACAGCCGTAACGAAACCTCATCATGTTCTGCTGTTTGTCTGTAATTACCAGCGTAACATTATTTTGCAGCATAACAACCTCATGTTGTACGTTGTCAGGGCATACCTACAGCAGTAGAACGTCGCCATGCTACATCGACCTGTTCTGTTACCAGGTTTGTCTCTAATCGAGCATGTTTAAGACGAAATGGAGCGACGTCTGCTTCAGACGTCCAACCCTACATTGCCAGACAAATTCCCCAAGCATTTCTGATAAGTTCCATGCACCCCTTCTGTCTGTGGCCACAAACAATCCCAATTGACCGATAGAACGTCAGAGTGATTCGGATCACATATTATTTTGTGTATATTAGCTAAACAGTCAAAGTACAGAGTTTCTGTCCCTCCCATTAGAATATGAAATGAACACATACTTGTCATCGTTCCTGTTTGAAGTGCAAACCAGTGAGAGACACACATTGAATACGTACGCACGCTGATCATGACGGAAAGTGGAGTGGTCTAGAATGATAACAACCTCCTCCATTATTTGGCTTTCATTCCTGGGAGAAATTTGATAAAACTTGGAACATTGATGAGTAATGGAACTTAGCATTCAATAATGTCGATCAAAGTTTATGGGAAAAGATGGTGGTGATGATTGTCTCAAAAACACCTGATAAATCCATTGAAATCCAGTACATAGCTGCTCATTTTGTACACGCCGACATCTTGAAATGCTCCCTCCGGACCAGTACAAGACAATGATTGAGAATCTGTAGGTTATCACGTAGATTTTTTAAAAGTTTCGCTTAGTGTCAGTACAAGTTTGTAAGTGTTTATGTGATCATGACCCATCAAAATCCAGAAGCTTTTAGTAATTACCTACAATATAATGTTACATAGCCGTATCTTTAATATTTATTGCACCAGAAGCGGGATGATTTGACCTACTTCATTTAATATTTTGTATCATTTTAACCTTCTTTGTACATTTGGATAAGCTAACATACTGTACATTGGGAACAAAATGAAAAATGATTTAGCAAATAGTTACGATGGCATTCATTTTATGGCAGCTCACAAATTTTGAAGTTAATTCACAAAATATGTGTTACCACTACAAGCAAACTATTCTGTTCTCAAACAACTTGTTATTTTTTAGATCTTAATGTTAAACTGTTCTGGTCAATGTAGGTATGGGCAGTTCTTTTATGTCATTTTCTACACAGTTATTATGATTATAAATGCCTAGGATCTAACTAGGCCAATGTCATGTCCATTCCATTTCTCTCTAATTTTTTCGTTGAATTTGACATAATCACGGGAGTCCCAACATTGTTTGCCAACAATGGGTGTTTTACGTCTAATATTATCGGGTCCCTTCAGCGAACATTTTTATGTCGGTTGGAGGATTATGGATGGACCGCCTTGACATAAGCTCAACAATAGTCTGGTGACGACATACAGATTGATCAAACAATATTTTATTTGTAAAAGTATATATGAAATGACATTTCATTGAATATCAGAATCGATCTGCTCCCACTAGCTTCTGTCAATAAGCAGGGAAGTTGGGAATAATAATCCCAACCGCAAAAACAAAAAAATGAGGCCTAATGTACCTGCAGTGCTCGCCTGGTATACCGGTATATAACGTAAATGGCCAAAATTCTATTTGCATAACTTATGCTTATTTTGAATGGTTACCATGGCTACCATAGCTGGGTTACCATGGCTACCATAGCTGCAATAACAAATAAAAAAATCTGATAATTGTGACTGTGAATTTAGGTCAAGTTGAGATTTTTTTCCAAATTTTGTCAGGCTTCATCCTAGTAACATACCCGCCAAACATCAGGCCTCTAGACCTTTCCGTTCAAGAAATTTGACCCCTGTGACCTTGAACATATGTCAAGGTCATTTCTTTTTCCAAATTTTGTCAGGCTTCATCCTAGTAACATACCCGCCAAACATCAGGCCTCTAGGCCTTTCCATTCAAGAAATTTGACCCCTGTGACCTCGAATATATGTCAAAGTCATTTTTTTCACTAATTTTGTCAGGCTTCTTCCTAAGAACATAGAAGCCCATTTGGTCAATGGTTATTGAGAAGAAGTTTCATATATAACTGACAAGAGATGACGGACGCTGCACCACTGCATAAGCTCACTTGGGCCAGGTGAGCTTGTAAGAACTAGAAAGAAAGAAATACTACTCCAAATATGTGACCATAGTGCAAGCAGATTTAACACTGGAGTGTTTATTAACCTCATCACAAAATAAAACACTGAAGACAGAAAAGTTGTATGACTTCGTATTTAATACATTCAAGTTTCATTTCTTACAATCATAAATAAAATGATATTCACTACATATAAAACATTAAAACGACAATGGCAAAATCAGGCACATGTGACACCCATAACACAGGAAGTAAAATCTAGGTAAATTATCTCCCTTGACGGGATATCTCGATGTGTGGTCTTTGCTTGAATGTATACACAAATGTCTTTTCTAACAAAATTCAAAGAACCATTGAAATTTGCTTAATGCGACACAAAGTCAAATCTGTTTCATGTAAATTATTTTAAGTCTAGCTCAACACTGACCTATCTATAATAAGAAATTACATTGCAAGTATAACTTGTTTGACCCAATCTTAAATCAATGGCTTGCACAAGTTAATGCTGCAGAATAATGTGACTAAATCACATATCATACAGTGATGAACACATTCTCTGGATTTTCAGTATAATGACAGCATCACATCAGTATTTCTAGCTGTTGCTTGTTTCAGCAAGCATGATAGGTCAAAAAGACGAAAGAATTGTCATTTAAGACGTTTTCTTTCCTTACAATTTGATTTACGTTAACTGTCACTTTATTCCACATAATTTGTATGGAAATTATTTAAACAAACACAAAACACACGCTTGCAATTTATGTCCCCTCAACACCCCACCCCCCTACCAATATAAAATTTCCAAGTTAATAAGTTTTAAACATCAAAGATAATATTGTTCATCATACCACAGTACTGGACCACCATGACTATATAAACTTAATCTGAAGTGAAAAGAACAAGCCATAAAGAGTTTGTCGTCATTTTCTAGAAATTTTTTGTCCCATATACAAGAAATAAATTTCACCTAAATCTATTTGCTGGGTCCAGATGTCCACACTACAATGTAATTCAAAGTTGGAATGGAATAGCACTTGCATTTAATGAGAAACTGTACTAAAAGCAAAACTTTTGAGTCAAGCATTTCAGAATCACTGCAGAAAAGTTTGATTGATATTTGGGAAATGATGGGTGTGTCCATTATGTTATCAGGGAATCACTGCAGAAAAGTCTGAATCATATTGGGTAAATGATGGGTGTGTCCAATATATTATTTCAGAATCACTGCAGAAAAGTCTGAATCATATTGGGTAAATGATGGGTGTGTCCAATATATTATCTCAGAATCACTGCAGAAAAGTCTGAATCATATTGGGTAAATGATGGGTGTGTCCACTTTGTTGGTAAATGATGGGTGTGTCCAATATATTATCTCAGAATCACTGCAGAAAAGTCTGAATCATATTGGGTAAATGATGGGTGTGTCCAATATATTATCTCAGAATCACTGCAGAAAAGTCTGAATCATATTGGGTAAATGATGGGTGTGTCCAATATATTATTTCAGAATCACTGCAGAAAAGTCTGAATCATATTGGGTAAATGATGGGTGTGTCCAATATATTATTTCAGAATCACTGCAGAAAAGTCTGAATCATATTGGGTAAATGATGGGTGTGTCCAATATATTATTTCAGAATCACTGCAGAAAAGTCTGAATCATATTGGGTAAATGATGGGTGTGTCCAATATATTATCTCAGAATCACTGCAGAAAAGTCTTAATCATATTGGGTAAATGATGGGTGTGTCCAATATATTATCTCAGAATCACTGCAGAAAAGTCTGATTGATATTGGGTAAATGATGGGTGTGTCCAATATATTATCTCAGAATCACTGCAGAAAAGTCTGAATCATATTGGGTAAATGATGGGTGTGTCCAATATATTATCTCAGAATCACTGCAGAAAAGTCTGAATCATATTGGGTAAATGATGGGTGTGTCCAATATATTATTTCAGAATCACTGCAGAAAAGTCTGAATCATATTGGGTAAATGATGGGTGTGTCCAATATATTATTTCAGAATCACTGCAGAAAAGTCTGAATCATATTGGGTAAATGATGGGTGTGTCCAATATATTATCTCAGAATCACTGCAGAAAAGTCTGAATCATATTGGGTAAATGATGGGTGTGTCCAATATATTATCTCAGAATCACTGCAGAAAAGTCTGAATCATATTGGGTAAATGATGGGTGTGTCCAATATATTATCTCAGAATCACTGCAGAAAAGTCTGAATCATATTGGGTAAATAATGGGTGTGTCCACTTTGTTGGTAAATGATGGGTGTGTCCACTATATTATCTCAGAATCACTGCAGAAAAGTCTGAATCATATTGGGTGAATAATGGGTGTGTCCACTTTGTTGGTAAATGATGGGTGTGTCCACTATGTTATCTAGCTATATACCAAGTTTGGTTAAAGCTGAACATATCTTTTCCTGCAACTTATCTTAAGACACAACTTAAAATTGAAATGCTGACGATACTGACAGAAAAGTTACACTACATACCTCACTTCCGTGATTTTTTGTCACAGAGGAAACAAAATTATGTAATTACATCTAACAATGTAAAAAAACGTTAATATAAAACATATCTAACAATAACAAGTAAAAACATCTATAATAGTAACATCTGACACACAAAAAGCTGATGATAGAATTACAGTTTATAGACTTAAGTCAAACACAAAGACAAGACATGTTACAAATTTTATCTCATCACTGCTGATAGATTTCCTACCTAATATACACCCCCCTCTCCATTTCATAAAAATTAACAGATCTGTCTGTATGTTTGGGCTTGCAGCATAAAAATAACACAAAGCCCAATCTTTGCACTTAATTGACAATGTATATAACAACTCAAATGTTTTCAAAAAACCCTGCTGTGATCGATATCTGTTTTTGGGTAAATGCATCATATTGGCGCTGACTGATTTAAGAAATTTGAAATAATCTATTTTTTGAAAATCTGACTGCTTTGTACCAATGTTATATAATAAAAAAAGATTTCTGTGTAAAATATCAACTCCTTTAAACAATAACTGTCAGAGTGAAATGCAAAATTAAACCTGTGAGAAGAAAAAATTGACTAATGGACAGGGTATGCTGTCAGCGCCTTCATATTTCATAGTGTGGTATAGAAAAGGTTTCTCACAGACAAGAGCCCAATTATATTATGATAGTAGGACAAGGAGGCCACAACATCACAATTCATAATACTCTCCACATAACGACGACACTATTCATGAATTAGTTTAAAAGATATCACTCTTTAATCTCAACAAAGTCTTCACCAAGGAATGACTCAAAAGCTGGCATTGTTTTTACAGAATCACTTGGAAAACCAAATGTATTATGTCAGTGAAAACTTCCTTGAAATATTTGATAAACATTCAATATTTTTTTTGATGACAATGAAAACTTCCATCAGTCCTTCCTCTGGACGATGGAAGACTTGTCAAACTTGTACTGCATTTTTAACTATTCATATAGACAGGCATATGTTACAGTCAGTTTAATATACATGTATACAGTCAATACAAAATTTTAATAAATAGTCTATTTCAATCTTAAAGTAGAGGAAGAAGAATCATTGCTAGTTTTATAGGATCAATTTCATCCCACAAATCTGTCAATCATTCCTACGTCATTTCCTCTCTTTGGTAGACTATGCATATAATTCATGTTGTACAGCGTGTTATGTCATGAAATCCCCTCCAATGTAGATAGAAGGTCTCTGTTTGACAGAAATTACTAGCAACATTTGGAGATTGTTGTCCATATTATGACACAAACTGACCACAATGGCTGTCCTTGTGTAGCCAAACAAGATCTGACTTAGTTTCAACTAGACTGCAATTAACAGTTCTCTCATGCATCTGGTTTCACCAGAAATTCCTCTATGAATCCATTCAGCTGCTTATCCAGCCAATCAGATTTGTTTCTACAACATACATAACATACACTATAATTGTATACTTAACTTACATCACAAGACAGTCTAGTTGTATATATAAATAATGTTTTGCCATATATATGTATAACATTTCCCCTTAAGTTTCCATATGAAAGGTTTTAGTATGTGAAATAGAAGGTAGTTATGATCGTGACAAAATATCTTTAATGTCAAGCTACAGCCGGCCAGCCACACAATACCATACCATATACTAAATAAATATGTTTCATTACAGATGGGAATTTTATCCTTCCTAAGTCATGTTTTTCTTCTGAAGTAAGGCATCATTTGGTTCATAAATGCTGTCTGATTTAGGCTGTACAATGCTAGTGAAATATTCTTAAGCATTAAGGCTGCACTGTTAATACAACCTTTAGTAATCTACTTTAAGTGAACCATCAATTTATGTGGCCATTTGTAAATAAACGGAAGTCATCCAAACAGGATTATTATTGTTTCTGATCTATTCGAGACTTACCTGAGAAGCTTGGCCTTGGCAGAGACCTCCTTGAGATGAGCAAGGTCTTTGTCAAGAGTACAGATTTCTGCCTGAAGTTTTTCTTTAGATATATCTACTTGGTTACAGAGGCGAGCAAACGTAGATGTCAGTTCCCTAAAAAAATAATATTTATAATACCAGTAGTCTGATAACAGTGATGGAGTGTCCACACACAAAACTGTTACTGGCGTACCAGTAGCCTGGTAACAGTGATGGAGTCTCCACACACAAAACTGTTACTGGCGTACCAGTAGCCTGGTAACAGTGATGGAGTCTCCACACACAAAACTGTTACTGGTGTACCAGTAGTCTGGTAACAGTGATGGAGTCTCCACACACAAAACTGTTACTGGTGTACCAGTAGTCTGGTAACAGTGATGGAGTGTCCACACACAAAACTGTTACTGGCGTACCAGTAGCCTGGTAACAGTGATGGAGTCTCCACACACAAAACTGTTACTGGCGTACCAGTAGCCTGGTAACAGTGATGGAGTGTCCACACACAAAACTGTTACTGGCGTACCAGTAGCCTGGTAGCAGTGATAAAGTCTCCACACACAAAACTGTTACTGGCGTACCAGTAGCCTGGTAACAGTGATGGAGTGTCCACACACAAAACTGTTACTGGCGTACCAGTAGCCTGGTAACAGTGATGGAGTCTCCACACACAAAACTGTTACTGGCGTACCAGTAGCCTGGTAACAGTGATGGAGTGTCCACACACAAAACTGTTACTGGCGTACCAGTAGCCTGGTAACAGTGATGGAGTGTCCACACACAAAACTGTTACTGGCGTACCAGTAGCCTGGTAACAGTGATGGAGTGTCCACACACAAAACTGTTACTGGCGTACCAGTAGCCTGGTAACAGTGATGGAGTGTCCACACACAAAACTGTTACTGGCGTACCAGTAGCCTGGTAGCAGTGATAAAGTCTCCACACACAAAACTGTTACTGGCGTACCAGTAGCCTGGTAACAGTGATAGAGTCTCCACACACAAAACTGTTACTGGCATACCAGTAGCCTGGTAACAGTGATAGAGTCTCCACACACAAAACTGTTACTGGTGTACCAGTAGCCTGGTAACAGTGATGGAGTTTCCACACACAAAACTGTTACTGGCGTACCAGTAGCCTGGTAACAGTGATGGAGTGTCCACACACAAAACTGTTACTGGCGTACCAGTAGCCTGGTAACAGTGATGGAGTGTCCACACACAAAACTGTTACTGGCGTACCAGTAGCCTGGTAACAGTGATGGAGTGTCCACACACAAAACTGTTACTGGCGTACCAGTAGCCTGGTAACAGTGATGGAGTGTCCACACACAAAACTGTTACTGGCGTACCAGTAGCCTGGTAACAGTGATGGAGTCTCCACACACAAAACTGTTACTGGCGTACCAGTAGCCTGGTAACAGTGATGGAGTGTCCACACACAAAACTGTTACTGGCGTTCCAGTAGCCTGGTAACAGTGATGGAATCTTCACACAAAATATTTCATGACATGTAACCTTCAAAAAGTTAAAAATTTGACAGCAAAAGCCTACAATGAATGTAAGACAGAATTATTTCAATCTTCATCAGAAATATTCCAAATTTTATCAAGTCCAATACTGAGTCAACACTTACTGCTGTACTTGGTGACTACAGTTGGCACTTGTCAGATCCACAATCAGTTTAAGTTTACTGGATGCGTAGTCAACATATTGACGTTTGAACGATCGTTCCTTGGCTTTGTTTGTCCAAGTCAGCCGCTCATACATATACAGTAGTCCATACAGGCCACTTGTCACAACAATCACCTTCCAGCCTGCAGCCTTGGCAATCTACAAGGTCAAAGGTTACAATTTATACATATATACTGTATTTCTCCAGAAGGCCCTTGAATCAATTACATCAACTCTGTTTCAAATGTAAGGAGGTGGGCTTATCACAGGACAATGCATTTGTTGGCATTTTCTCAGTACAGATGTACTAAATTGAAAAGATATGGATGGTATTATTACCAGACACTTGCTTATTACTAGACACTTAAGGTAACTATACTAAATGTTACTGTTTATGTTTAATAGCAGTGAGAGTATTGTGTATCAGAAACCGGGGGCAGGAGTATTGCATATCAAATATCAAAGAATTGTACCTTGTCCAAGCACCAACATATCAACTAAACTTACCATCAATTCAATGACAGACTTCTGTGTTATACAAACTGCCACGACTAAGACGATTAACCTGATAAGCCTGTTGTACTTACAAGGCCTCCGACAATGATGGCTCCCATAGTGGTACGTGAGGTAATGGATGCAAAAGTCGTGATCATGGAGAAGAGCACCTGGTTGTTCTGCTCTGGGGCAAGTGGCCGATAAAACTCTCCAAGGGGTGTCTGTGGACCGCCATCTGACATTGGCCGTGGAATCTGTAACACAAAGATTTAATCAAAATTACTACCCCATATTTTTTTAGATTTATGGCAGCTGTGTGGTGAAAGAAGATAATCCATACAGAATTCTCATGTCATCATGTACAAATGTATAATCATTCCACAAGTTCTATATCTATATAATAATTTTTTAATTGTTTTGTATGTATAATCATTCCACAAGTTCTATATCTATATAATAATTTTTTAATTGTTTTGTATGTATAATCATTCCACAAGTTTTATATCTATATAATAATTTTTTAATTGTTTTGTATGTATAATCATTCCACAAGTTCTATATCTATATAATAATTTTTTAATTGTTTTGTATGTATAATCATTCCACAAGTTTTATATCTATATAATAATTTAATTGTTTTGTATGTATAATCATTCCAAAAGTTTTGTATGCAAAATGCAGCTTTCTGATTCGATGATGTTTTCTTTTCATTTCTCCTAGAAAAAAAAAATTGAGCTCCGCCCACTTGATAATGATTGGACGAGTCAATGACAAGGTAATTTATTTGCTTGATTATTTTACCGTATCAGAGTGACCAGTCAGAACGGAATGAGTCCCCTTTCTTCCCAGAAATCGCTGCATCAGTGCAGTAAGACCCATAGAGAAGCGAAACTGTATATCTTCCTGAAAGTCAGCACACAGATTACGACAGTCCAGTCGGTAAGCAATCTCAAAATCCCGTCGTGGTACTAGGTTATACAGCTGTTGTTTAGTTTCCTCTGGCAATAATACTGCAATACGTTCTGTAAACATAGCAGTATCTATAGTAACATGTTCTGTCTACAAAGTATCATAAATAGCAACATGTAAACATGATCCAACACCAATGAAACATTTTTAGTAACCCAGTAACATTTTCTGTTACCATAGTAACAACTACAGTAAGACTGCAACATGTTCTGTAAACATAGTAAGACCTTCATTATCATAGCAACAAGTTCTCTAAACATAGTGACACCTACATAATCATAGCAACAAGTTCTGTAAATATATTAACACCTGTAGTAGCAGCAACAGTTCTGTAAACAAAGTAACACCTGTAGTAACATAGCAAGTTGTTCTATAAACATAGTAACACCTGTAGTAACATAGCAACATTTGTTAACACTGCAACAACTCCAGTAGCATAGCAACATGTTGTGTAAACACTGCAACACCTAGAGTAACTTAGATACATGTTGTGTTACCACGGCAACACCTACAGTAACATAGATACATGTTGTGTAACCACGGCAACACCTACAGTAACATAGCAACATGTTGTGTTACCACGACAACACCTACAGTAACATAGCAGCAAAGTACCATTCATATAGTGTAGCAAAGTAAGCAATTTTGGAATAATACATTGTAAAAAAAGAATAAATAAATAAAATTTACAATTAATCTGGTAATGATTCTATCATATTTGTCAGCTTTTTTTTATGAAACAGCCAGACAGTCATATGCTGTATTTGAATTGATTTTGTGGTATTTTGATTATCTTCATCATTTTTTATCCATCTTTGATCTACAGTTCCTTCATCTCAATTACTGAGTACTACAAACATGGAAATTATTCTGTCAATACAAGTAAAATTGTTTTTCTTCTATCATTATACAAGAGGCTATAAACCTTTGCTGTCATCTGACTATCTATAAAGGTCTAAGTATGACGGCAGTAGTGAGAGTAAGAACAATTATGAAACTATCAAAATTATTTTAAATCTTTTAGGGAAATCTGAATTATTCTTAATATGTTCGTATTTCATCATTTAACAGAAGGAGTAATTTACATCAAAATGTACAATATTTCCCCTATCAACTGCCCATGAAGGTAGACCAAATATGGTTTCATTGTTTATAGTTTCAGAAGGTTTTTCTGGAAACATCAAAATTCTTGTCATTTGCATGCTGTTTGTCATATTCTCTGAATGTCGAGAAGTATTTAAGAATATTGAATGTTGTGTCCCTTTGAAGGCCCCTCCCTTGATTCCTTGAAGGGGAATAGACCCATAAATTTCACCTTTCATCTTTGATGGTAGGCCCTAATGATAAGTAACAACACACAGGACAACTGCCGTACAATTCTGTATAACGCATTGGTAATATAAAATACCCAGCTACTAGAATCAGATTTTTTTGAAAATCTTGCTCTACGCTGCCCGCTATTGAAACATTTAATCTAGGATTAGAATTTATCCCTTATACCTGTTAATGTTTAAGTTTAAAGAACTGATCAGTAGGACTACATAAAATATCTTATATAATTATGATATGATGAAATTACATGCTAACATCTCTATTCTCTATAATCCAGCACATAGAAAATACAATTAGTATAAAAAGTGAAAAATAAGGATGATATACAACTTGTACGAGAAGAAACAGGTTGATCCAAGTTTTACAACTTGTTTCTAGATCCTACCTCAATGTTAAAACTGATGAATTTAATATATATTGTAAAAACATGATAAAAAAAGTTTATTGCAGGATAAATGATTAGGTAGAAAAAAATAAATACATCAAGCAGAATCATTTAAAATAAAATACATCTTTGAACATTTATGTATCCATGCAATGACTTTACAACATGTATCCCATACATTTATTTTTGAAAATCATAAACAACTCCACAAAAATGTCTCTAAAATCATGAAATAATGGTTGATTTGTGCTGCTTTAAGCTGAATCTTAAGTTTGTGGTTGATACAACCAGTCAAATTTGTCTTGTCTGCAAGAAAGGGGGTATGGAATGAATGAGAAAGAGTTTGGTGTCAATTTTACATAGGTTTTTCCCTGAGGGAGAAAGAAAAAACAGTGACGGACATGTCAGTATATAGGATAGAACAGATCAACAGGAGAGAGGTTATGTCTTCAGGAAAAGACAGAGAGATCATCAAGATTAAGTGGGTGAAAAAGGAAAGTAAATGAAGATAACAAATGATACATAACAGAATAAAAAACCAAAAAGGAGAAAGAAAGCATGAGAGGATAGGAAAATGTTTGGAAAATCAATGAAAGCATGAATAAGGAAGAGGATTTTAGAGGCACAATACCTGTACAAGAGCAGGCAGGTAAGAAGACAGCAAGCAAAGAGAAGAAGTATATGACAGGACAAAATAAGAGAAGGAAAGTGGGAAAGAATTGGTGGAAGGAGGAAAGTCTGCACACACACAGGTCAGAAAAAATTAACTGAGAAGGCAGAGAGATAAAGTGGAGGGCAAGTTATTGGGTAAAAAGGAAGGGTGAGAGATGATCTGTGAAAAAGGCAGAGACGGTTGAAAGTAGACTGGATGATTGGGGGATTAGGGTTAGGAGGCAAATGGTAAGAATTGAGGGTAGTTGTTAGAGGACGGGACTAGAGGTAGGGGGCCAGGAGTTAAGGATTGGGGATAGTTAATAGAGGACAAGACTGGGGGTAGGGGACAGGGGTTATGGATTGGAGACAATTCAAATTCGACAGGGTAGTTTATAGAGGACCAGACTGGGGGTAGGGAAATAAACTAATTGAAGGCAGTATCCAAATGTTATATGTCTGGGGATAATAATACCTGTCATTTCTGTCTGTGTTTCTTCCACTGAATGCTGTAGTACGTATGAGCAGCGCTGCTGTAGGTTCCGGCCTAGCCCACCCTCAACATGGCTATGCAATTCCTGATAGGGATATAACAGGCTAGGGTGAGGAAAAATCAGAGGGATGACCCATCAAAGCCATAACAGAAGACAGGACACTATACTAGGTCACACTGACCAAGACTGGACACACCATACTAGGTCACACTGACACAGACTGACAACAACTAGAGACTGAGCAATACCTTTTCATTGCAGAATGTAAGTCGAAAAATGTACCAGGTTGACGGTTTTCTTAAATTCAAAATTTACCATTGACAGTCTTCTTCACTTCAAAATTTACCAGTGTCAGTCTTGAAGTGAATTCACAGGTTTTTCATGAGTGTTATTAATAGGAAGGTAATTTTTCTTTATCAGTAGCTAGAAGAATATGTTGAGTTTATGTTTCTTTATTATAGAGAGTATTATAGAGTAAATACCACACCATGTTAATGATTTGTATGTTAACTTATTGATAAAGAGTCTCTAGTTGTGGTCACTTGCATTACAACATGCCGGTCCTAACGTGTGTGATTTGTACACATCTAATTAACTATTTAAACACATTTATGATTTTCTTCATGAAAGAAAATTCATGAAATCTCAAATTCTAAACATTTTTTTTTCACATTTTATTGTCTTTGATTAAAACCAGTAGTACATTTACAATGAATACAAATTAACACACACGTTACAACCTTCATGGAAAAAATAAAAAAAGAAAGTCTAACAAATAATGATTGTGATTATACATCCCAGAGAGGAGCAATGCAAGGATAAATACTGATGATCCAGATTGCCCTTTTACCTGTGAGCTGTGTCTCAACCCTTTCTATGGTTTTCTCTATGGCAGTGGAGCACCGGCCTGTCAGGTTCTGGCAGACAGCCCCCTCTACATACATGTGTAGTTCCTTGGCGAGAGATAGTAATATGTTCTGAAGATTCCATTTCTGATAAACCTTGTTAAAAGTGGCCCTAAATTCTAATTCTGGTTCATCTAAAAGTACTGTTGATCAATCTGAATGATCAATTACTGTGAAAGTTACGGTATATTTTTTCAATGTTTCAAATTTTCACCGCTAAAAACAAAAAGGATGTAATTTTTCAGAGAAGTCATGAAACAAATGATAATTTTCTTCCATATTTTGTTTTCAAAGTTGGTACATTATCTGGTTTTCGTGACTTTACTTCATCCTTGAAAATAGTGAAATGTATTTAAATCCCTTGATACAAACAACCTCTACAGAACATAGGTCTAGATACATGAAGTACAAGGATCTGTTTCTGTAGAATGGATGCCCTTATCAAATGTTGAATCGTTGATGTTGTATCAGCATATCAGAATAATTTTCTGATTTTCTTATTTGTGAAAATGTCTTAGTTATAAACAAAACTTCTCAAACATAATATTTCTTCTATTAAATGAAGGAGATAAAGATATTTACTGACTGAAAGAAAACATAAAAACATCTTTTGGACTGTTTCAATGACCAATATTTGTATAATGGGACATTTCAATAAGTTGATACTGTCAGCCTTGATATCAGACATCATAGCTATAATTTTACTTCATAAACCATCATCAGACATAAAATGGCTTCTTGAACCATCATGAAATATCGAATGGCTAAACTTTGATATTCACCTTCTTATAGACATTAAGGAGTACAGAGTCGGGACTCACCTTCATATAGACATTAAGGAGTACAGAGTAGGGACTCACCTTCTTATAGACATTAAGGAGTACAGAGTCGGGACTCACCTTCTTATAGACATTAAGGAGTACAGAGTCGGGACTCACCTTCTTATAGACATTAAGGAGTACAGAGTCGGGACTCACCTTCTTATAGACATTAAGGAGTACAGAGTCGGGACTCACCTTCTTATACGCATTAAGGAGTACAGAGTCAGGATGAAATGGTCGTTCAAATTCATCGACTATTGAGGACAGACGTCGGATTTCCTCACTAAGTGCCGTGGACACCTTCAGATACAGGAAAGAAAAGAAAGAGACCATTAGTAGAAAATGAAAAAGTAAAACAGACAATTAAACAATATCAAATGAAATGATTGATGATATAAAATTAAAAAGAAGTTTTACGACCTCAAAGAATATACTAGGGCCAGGTATCCATTATCTTATATCTCTTTAAACATGAATCTAGTAATTTTGGCCTTGCCGAATACTGACTTTTCGTTCAACATCATCCACCATGAAGCGGATTTTGTCCTTCATGTCACCAGTCAGTAGGATCAACTGTTTCTCTAAGTAGTCAAGCTCATCTGCTGTTTCCTGTCGGACACGTACTGACTCTTCCCTGTAAAGGTGAAACAGAAGGTGAGAAACATGAACAACCAAGTCATAGTGATAAACTATTCAACTTTAAGAAATAGAAATTGTAATTGTTCACACTCAATACAGGATGTCACATCCGAATGATAAGATCATCTGTTTTTTATCAGAAATTTTATATTTGATCTCTAATTTCATCATTGTATAAAAATTATATTTGATAATTCTTTGGTTTCTGTTGATGTCATCTAAAAACTAAAAGACTTAAAACATATCAGGAGAAGTAATACATCTAATATCAAAACAAAACCTGGCTTCCTGTAATTTTTACATTTACTACAGATCAAAATAATACTTACATCTTTTGCAGACTGCTTGTGTAGGTTTTTTCCATAACATCCCGAAGATTAGCATTAACTTTCTTGCCACGCTTGGCATGCTGCTCAAACTTTGTCTTTACAGCTGACTTAGAGATACACACCTGTATTGAAATCAGCAACATAATTATTACTTAATTGTATATCATGGGTCATCTACAACTGCACATATTTTTATCATATACAGTATATTGCAAGATTTTTATGCTGTGCATTTTTATGTGAAAAATCCCTTTGCAATTTTTGTATATATCAACTTTTGTGATTTCATCGTCTCAGGAATTTTAAAGGTCTTTTTTGAAGACTTTCAATACATCAGAATGGACATGGCTTACATATATACCAGTGTAGCATCTAATATCACCTGAAGATCTAACTGACCAGTCATACTTGATAAGAGACTTACATACCGACTAGCATTTATTTATCACACAAGTATTCACAACTTGAGAGTGTTCAGGTGCATGTAGGTACATTACCTCTAGTGAGGTATTACTTTGTTTACAGTTTTAGCTTTTTGTGAATTCCAAAGTGTCACTGAATTTGCAAAAATTAGATACACACAAAAAATTCCTGATATACAGTAATAAACCTGTTATACATATCAGTGTACAAACACATATTACCCGATACCTTTTCTCAAAGCATTACTGCAATCATGTGTCTTATCAGATTGAACACATGAAATATTTCCCAGGTAAGATGTAACAAATATCAGTCTTTATATAAAGGTTCAGTTACATTGCATTACATAGGACAAATGACCTTTGTATAAAGGTGGCCTATAAGACAGGCTCGACTGTATTTCCGTGGTAAGATGTTATAAATATAGGTCTTTATATAAAGGTTCATTTACATTACATAGGACAAAACAGCTTTGTATAAAGGTGGCCTATAAGACAGGCTTGACTGTATTTCCCAGGTAAGATGTAATAAATATCAGTTGATGATGTAAAATTTATTACTACATTTCCCTTATATCAGCTGAAACTTACTTCAAACATTCTCTCAAAGTTGGCAAACTCAAACAAACGGTCTGTAAAGTCGCGCTGTAAGGATCCAGCTAAAACACAGGGGAAGTTGTGTTAATGAGGTTTATGTATCATTAGGATCCATTTGGTATACACAGGTCAAATTGACAAACTGTACAAAAACTTTAAAAGAGAGGAGCATGTAACAGAAATATTTTAATTTCTTGTATTCAAAGACTGCAACCATATTTAAAAATTTCTGCAGACAAGACACTTTTTAATGTCTTGGTATGTATTTTCATGCATTATATTCCCCTTCAACTGTCCCAAGATAAAAGAACGTTTCTGAATTATGTGATATTAAATCTCATGTGGCATGAGAAGAATTTTCACACACAAGTCACCCTCCCAGTACGTAAGAGTTGGCAACTCTGGCTTTTATTCTCATACACTGACTTATAGAACAAGTGGATACATGTTTACATGTTTCTTTACAGGTAACAAAACATCAATTTGTTTCTAGGAATTAAGCAGCCAATTTGCTTCAATGAATACTTTTCACAACCCATTGACATTATTTTTATGATTTGATAGGTCTAACTTCCTTTCAATAACAGGGCAGGTAGTGGGGAAAGTGTCAAAGCAAATATATCAAGAAATGGGAAAGTCACAAAATGTTGAAGTGTCAAGATGGTTATGTCCAACAAGTGGAGAAGATGTCCAAATATTCTGTCATACCAGAGGGGGTGTAAATTGGGGTATGTAGTGGGAGTGTAATAGGCTATGAATACAAGGTGGAAAAGAGTCAAAAGTGCAAGGTCATACAAGATTGAGAAGTGTCCAGAAGTTAAGTCATTCAAGTTAGGGAAGTGTCAAAAGGGTTATATCATACAAGAGCAGGGTTGTCAATTTTTGTTTTAATTTGGGTTAAGTTATTCGAATAGGGAAAGTGGCAAAGATTGTCATTCAAGAGGAGGTGTCAGAAGGGCTATGTCAAACAGGAGGGAGAATGTAAGGAGAAGTGACATGAGGATTTCTTCATTCAAGAGAGAGCATCAAATTGGTTTAATCATGTGAGAGGGGGTTGCTGTAGAACAACCCTCTTGACAATTTACCAAAATGTGAAAGGAGTTCTGTCATACAAGACACGGTAATGTCAAAAGGGTAGAGTCATTCAAGTTGGGCAGTGTCAAATGTCATCAAATAGTAGGAAGTGCCTAAAGGGCTAAAGGGTTATGTCATGAAAGTAGGGTTTTAACATCTAGAAGATGTAGAAATGTTGAAAAGGATTTTTTTTTTTATTCAAGCATACAAGAGAGGGGAGTGTCAAAACAATGAAGTCAATAAATTGGGTGAAGTGTCAAAAGGGTTAAGTCACACAAGTGATGAAGTTTTCAAAGGGGTAGCAACACACATGTAAAGAAGGTGACAGCAAGGGTATACATGATACAGAAGGAGGAATTAACTTTAATTGATAATAGGATGCTATACGTACTGGGGGTGGGAGTTTGATTATCCTCATGAAGGCGAGTGATAAGGGCTTCCTTTGCTGATACAAAAAAGATCCTGTTCTTGGCTTCCTGAATGTTTGCGACTTTCAGCTCATCACAGAGAAATTCCACATTCCGTTGGTAATGTTGTTCTTTCACCTAAATATAATTACTTACATGAAAAACTGCATAAAACATCTACATATTGTAAAAGGACAAATTTGGACAAGACAGAAATATCTACCAATAAGGACGAAAGGAAGCATATGAAAGTCATCTTACCTAATAAGCAAATTGAAGTTACAATATTGTTTACAGTGTCATGGAAATTTTACAACATCAAAATAAAGACCAATCAAAGGCTATTTTGGTGGTGGGCGGGTAGGTGGGGAGGGGGACCAATTACAAAACAATACTTGTTTTTAATGTCATGTGATTAATTCAAATGTTATGAAATACCTACAATATCTGAATTGTAACATAATACAGCTGTAGTCAATCTCATAAAATCAGATGTTGATAAACATACCTACAGCTATTATTGTGATCATGAATATCTATATATATTTATTTCAGATTGTGACCTTCCTGGATTGGAAACACTATCCAAGTACATAAAGAATTCAAAGCAAGTTTGAATGACAAGTGCTGTGAAAATCATCAACCATGGCAACCATTTTTAAGTTAACTGAGAATGAAGAACAAAAAACCCATTATCATGCCTTTGCTCACCCAAACATGTGATTTTGTAGAAAAGTGTCAGACACATTATTGTCAGAAATATAGATAACATCAGACAAATGAAAAAGCAGCGTAGACTCAGTATTAAATGTGTTGACTGGGAGACATGATCTCACAAATTAAATGTCATCCACATAGCCATGTACCCGTACTTACTGAATGAACCTCCTCAGCATCTTCCTCTAGCACAGACACATCCCATCGATTCTGGAGGATGAAAATGTTTGGCTTGGAAAGGCGGTCACTCACTTTGTGGAAGAACTTCTTTTCCTGGAATTTTAAAAAAAGATCCTTAAAACTTGATTACTTGTGTCAATTTAGATATAATGCTCTCATTATTAGTGTGTGAATTATCATTTGTATAAATTTATTAAATTCTATCCTAACTTAATATCATAAAATAAACCCAATTTTTATGGTGTTGGATATTCACCAAAGCAATTCTAGCACAGAATCATAACACTGAGTCTGATCTATGATTTATACGAACACATGTTACATAAACTCAGCTATATATGTGATATTTGAGGTATAAATTTTTCTGAAGCCAAAAATATAAAAAAAAAATTCTTTGGCAATAAGTACAAGTTTGAGAGTAAATTTTCCATAATAACTGTCATTCAACAGTGTGGCAAATATTCCTTATACTTTTATCTCAGACTTTCTCCTATGACAGACATTTACCGTCCTCATCAAGGTAGACTCAGAATTGGCCACAAGTACAAACACATCTGCATCCAGACAAAATTTGTCGATCCATTCATCAAGGTCAGGTGTCACGTCAATGCCAGGGCTGATAATAAAAACAATGAAAAAAACTGAAATCTTAGTTTGTTTGTGTATAACATGTTAATCTATCTGCTGTATTTTTCCTGTAAAACACCAAGGGAGCCATTCTTTTAACTCTAACACAAACTATCCTGCAATTCAACACAGGAGCAAATACTTTCAACACTGACTCAATCCATCCAGTCATAACCCACAGGAGCCAAGACTTACAACTCTGATTCAATCCGTCCTGCAATATGCCATATGAGCCATCATACTTACTTCTGACTAAATATTTCCTGCAATAGGCCAAAGGAGCCAACACATTCAATTCTGACTCAATCCATCCTTCAATACACTACAGGAGCCAACACACTTTCTCTGACTCAATCTATCCTTCAATACACTACAGGAGCCAACACACTTTACTCTGACTCAATCAGGGTTTTCCATAAGAGCCGGTCGCCGGCCAATTTGACCGGCTACTTTGATCATTTGGCCGCCTACACCAATCCAGTTCCATAATAATGTTCTATACACAACTACACATACATTGCAGGCCAGCCTCCTACTTACACTACACAGCCCACTACTAGCAAAATCATGGAAAACCCTGCTCGATCCATCCTTCATTACACTACAGGAGCCAACACACTTAACTCTGACTCATCTATCCTTCAATACACTACAGGAGCAACACACTTAACTCTGACTCGATCTATCCTTCAATACACTACAGGAGCCAACACACTTAACTCTGACTCGATCTATCCTTCAATACACTACAGGAGCCAACACACTTAACTCTGACTCATCTATCCTTCAATACACTACAGGAGCCAACACACTTAACTCTGACTCATCTATCCTTCAATACACTACAGGAGCCAACACACTTAACTCTGACTCGATCTATCCTTCAATACACTACAGGAGCCAACACACTTAACTCTGACTCGATCTATCCTACACTACAGGAGCCAACACACAATACACTACAGGAGCCAACACAACACACTCAATACACTACAGGAGCCAACACACTTAACTCTGACTCGATCTATCCTTCAATACACTACAGGAGCCAACACACTTAACTCTGACTCAATCTATCCTTCAATACACTACAGGAGCCAACACACTTAACTCTGACTCGATCTATCCTTCAATACACTACAGGAGACAACACACTTAACTCTGACTCAATCTATCCTTCAATACACTACAGGAGCCAACACACTTAACTCTGACTCGATCTATCCTTCAATACACTACAGGAGCCAACACACTTAACTCTGACTCATCTATCCTTCAATACACTACAGGAGCCAACACACTTTACTCCAACACTCTCTCTGTTGTGAAAGGATTCTGTGACTGCTATACAGAAAAATCGTGGGTATTTAAGCAGAACACTTAGAGGCATCAACACTGTCCTGGAACCTGACCACACTTTTTCATAAGTTCAATGACTACTGCCATCTCAATCAGCTATACTGGTTATATGAAATAATTTAAAAGCACAATTTTTTGTTTGAAGAGTTGTGTCTAAAGAGTTGCTATCTAGATTTGTTATAATCTGCATACCCAGCCCAATATACATTTAAGTTAATTTAGGTAAAAGTAACTTGAAAATTTTATTCTGATAATCAATATCAGGATATTTTTATCAAAAAAAATTGTCTGAAAATCCCAAATAAATCCCAAAGAGCAGCTGAAGCCTGTCCATGAGACTCACCTGTCTAAGAAGACAACATCCTCCTTGAGAAGGCGACACTTTTCCTTTGGCCACAAGATCCTGATCAATGAGTTTTCCTTCAGTTTTGCTGTACTTAGGGCACTAGCCAGCTGTTTTACCGACTACAATTCAAAATGGATCAACATCTGAATAGTTATCAGAGACAAGAGTTAACTCCCTTAGTGATCTGGAATTGTTTAATTGTCTATTTTCCATCTAACAAATTAAGAAAAAGTCTCAGTGTGGAACTTATGAAACAAGAGATGGAGTTCTTCTTTCAACATGTATGTATCTTCTACAAACTGGGACATTTTAAACTGACTAAAACTGACTTATGGTAGGTTTTAACAACAATAAACATTAAGTGAAATTTAATCATCATTTCCAATTGATCAATAAGCAGAGCACTTATTCTGCCAATGAAAGTTTTATTTGGAACATGAATCATCAAGGTTAAAATGTACATGCTTAAATTTAGAGTTTTGATATATTTGATATGTTAAGGGCGTCTAATTCATCCAAGTGACTTACGTTGACACTTTTAGGCTCGTCAGACTCCTCGGTGTATAGACAGCCATCATTTCCATCACATCCCTCTACCTGTAGGAAACAGTTGGTTGTGTGTCCAATGCCACTAGGCAGGATCTTCTTTCGTAACATAGCATTTATCACAGAGCTTTTTCCATTGGATGTCCTGCACAATATACAATTGTACTTATGAAACTGCTTTCCACCTGGCCTTTTCCAAGGGCTCTGTGGAACTGAATTGGCCCCATTTCCTAATAGAGTCATTTCATAATATCGCAAAATTCCAAAATAATTACAATTAGCCCCTAAACATTTCCTCCCAAACTGACCATTTTCCCCCTGAAGATGAGATTAAAATTCCCATTCCCATATGAATAGATTGATAATGACTAAACAGTAAATTTAATCTCCATTCAATTACAGCAGTGATAGCAGTCAATATTGATTAAACAATAATTATACACTCTGTTAATGTAAAGATTAAAAATGTTCATAAATTCTATCAAAATAACACAGAATGTCTTTTCCCAGATTTTTTTACACAAAATCCCTTTGATGTGGATACATTATTTATTTTCAATACCAGTGAAGGTGCAACAAGCTTTCGTTTTACAAAAACAACAATATCTATTCTTAAATTCTCCTCAATCAATATGCCAATCAGTAATGTGCAGTCCCCAGACAGTGAAATGCAGGTGTATATTCCGTAGCATTACATGTTCCATGTTTTAAATTTCAATATGATTTAATCAACCATGATCAATAAAACAAAAGAAAATCTAGTTTTATCAATTCTACTGACAGAAAGAAATGAACCTTTCAAAGAATGAAATATATTACCTTCCAAAGAAGCAAACTTTCATGTGATCACGAGCCAAAACTTCTATGATGCCTCTCACCATTTCCTGAAACTCTTCTACATGTTTCTTTTCCTCAGAGCCATCTTTGTGGTCTGAAAAAGAATATTTTATAAATGGTAAAACTAAGCAGTTTTCATTCAAATACTAGTACATGAATACAGTAATTACCCGTGAATAAATGGTTGTAGTTATTCTAATTTAAAGATCTATAATGATGATTGACTTTAATTTGCGGAATACTGGTAAATTGTAGCATTTTTCATTTTACATATTGGAAATGGTTAAAAAACAAATTATGATCCTTGATCTTTTCTGAAATAATTCATGATCAAATATCATCATAGAATCAAAATTAAAGGAATATGTATATTAAGCACTGCATTCAAATGACAATAAACCACAACAAGCAATAAGGCCATTCACATCTAATGCACTTTTATTTATATAATGTCTTATAGTTACCATTACCATGTAAGAATGCCCAACTTCCTTTTTGGAGTAACAGTAGGTATTGCAAAATAAATACAGTATGATTTATTGGTAAAATTTATAGATAAAATTGTTGATTTCTACTGTAAACCTGAAGCATTGTATTATTGAATTGATTGATTGAAATCATTCATGTTGCAGTAAAATGACATAAAATTGTAAAAAAACTTATTTATTAAAGCAACTACTTCAAAGTTTATTTTAAAAAAATGTAAATTCCTAAAACCAGTAATTTAAACAATCCACAACTTAATTATTAACCTAGATAGTTATCATTCTCTAAACCAATAACATAACACCTTAATCCTAGGAACACGTAAATCAAGGATTTATATTGGACTTAGCTCTGTGGAATATTTTAGACTTATTTATCAGTGTGGAATGTTTCAGACTTACCTGTGAGGAATGTTTTTGACTCGTTGATATATTCCAATATTTCTTTAAAGATATCATTGATAGTTTTTTTGGCTTGGGAAAAGAATTTAAGTGGTGACTGAGGACGACTGTGGTGTCCGTTACCAAGGCTACGTCCCGATACCATTGAATCACCTTGCCCTTGCTGACCATCGAGGTCTTCCATATTGTACGTTTGTAAAACTCCTGACATTGTCTTGCTAACTCATCTCCTGAAACACAGAAAGTTTTATGAGAATCGATTTCACCGTTTCAGTGACGTGGAACTTTACTATATCAATGGACTATTCAAGTTTTCTTCCCATGGAACAATTTTCAGAAACCAAAACCTCCCCATTTGAGACTGCCAAGTATACCTGTGCAAAACATACTGGTATCAACATTTTCATATTAGCAATATATATTGCCTCAGTAGCTGTGATTTCTAGCATCCTGACAATTTATGGTTGATGATGTTAACAGAGATATTCCGTTTTGCCATTTATTATACACGTACATGCAGTTTTCTGTGGCATGGGTTTTCCTTTAACATTAAAACATGTATTAATAGCATAGCACTAAACGCTCTACTGTGCTTATCTTATTTGATAACCTAGAGAAAGATATTAAATAAAGGGAAATTTTCAACTTTTTCTTAGTTTTTTAATGGTAATATTTCATTTCACAACTATGTTTCTTAAATTGTAACATGAATGATATCAGTGTTCATGCTTTAATTAATGTCATAAATAATATTATATATTTTGACTTCTCATATATATAAAAAAAGTATGCACATGTTTTCACTTAAGTTATGACACTTTTACAGTTGGTTTAAAGGACATTGCAGCTTTCATAGTTCCTCATAAATGTCTAGTTTGACCATTAAAATTGTTCTGAAAATCCCTCTAAATATAGCATTGATAATATATAGTTCAAATTAGTATCAAATTCTAAAACAAGACATTGTGACCTGATTAAGTAATTTGCATCTATTGCAGTGATTTATGAGACTGTAAATAATTTTGCTGTGAAACAGTTTTCCAAAGAATCTTAAATATGGTTTGTAACAACTCAATGTAAAATTTAGGCAATACATGTTTTAAAACATTTTCCATTTCATCGTCACAAATTCCTCCTTCAGATCCTCCTTTATAGCACATGCTTATTTGTAAATTTTGGTTTAGTCGTACACTGGGAATTTCCTCACATTACTACAAATATGGCAACTGTTTCATTTCCAACGGCTATACTTTAATTTGAACAGAATTTGAACAATCATTGGGATACTAGTATTTGTGAAAATGAGCCAATCTTCCGCCCTTTGGGTAAAAAATAATTATGGGATACAATAATTGAAAACGAAATAAAATCTCTTAATCAGACAACTTTTCAAGACCATTGTTCAATGGATCCACTTTAATCAAATTATCATCGTAACATTTTACCAAACGTCCAAAACACTTTCATTTCTGTAGAGAGCTCAGCAAGGTTGCGTAAGACAATTTTTCTGTACTTCAAGTCATCATTAATTCGATAACAAAAACATACCTTATCCTTTATCGTGTGACGGACAGGTAAAATTTAACTAGTATCCACTTTCAATGATATGCTGTCTGTAGTGTAAACCTTATTGACGCTTTCTTTCTATTTTCTTATATCGACCTTCAGTCAGAACACATGGTAGCGGACATGTTGGATGCGTCTAATTTCGTGAATGAGAAAACGGTCAAAGATATCCGGATCGGTCAGTTGACAACCCGTCAAAAAACTTATAAAAAAGTCATCGGCAATAAACACGATATTTAATTATTTATGTGTTGGTAAATTTCACATGTTTCTTATTTAGCAACTGCCAGAACCACGGCTTATAATAAAGAGTGAGGGTATGTAATTTATTATTCTGATAACTGGGAAGTAACTGAGTTTTTTTTAGACACAGTACATATGAAACATATAAATGTGTGATTGTAGATTGTGCTTTTAAACATACTTAAAAGAATATCTTAGTGCCCTGGGCCTTTTGGTTATTGTTCAGATTTTTTCTTAAAGATTTGAACAATCGCAAAACACCTTGATTCTAAACCACATCTCATTTAAACTTTGTGTACATACAATGAAAAAATGCAAAAAATAAAATAAATATAAAAAAGTTGATTATTTATGCTGTACATTAGATATATGATGAACACTCACAATTTGACAAATCTGTAGATGATGATGATATGAACATGTTCTCTAATGATGATATATATGTGTAAGATGCCAAAAGTCATTATATTTTGCCAGTCATAAACATGAAGGATAAAAGTTTGTTGGAATCAATGACCTTGCTCAACTTCAAGATCACAGTTTTCATTATTTTGTTTTTCTGTGGAAGCACTATTACATGAATTACCTTAATTCTTCTTCATTCATGGAGATCAAATGTTTCCCAACCATCATAAAGTTTGACTTTCCCCCTTTTTTTTGTCTTCTTTCTTATCCCTCCAAAAATTAAGTAATGCATAACCAAGGACCAAGGAAACATTAAGTTCTGTAGATCAGTACCCAAGTCAATAGTGCACAACTACAGAGTCAGGGTAACCAACAGTGTACATGTAAAATTTGGGAAAAATCCATTCAGTATTTCTCAAGAAACAGTTGAAATCTATATTGAACGTCCATCAGCCATTTTGTCTTTGAATTAGTTTCAAAATCAAAATCAGCAAAACTAGTGACAAAAGATTACCTACAGATGAAATCTTATTTCTCAAGAAATAGTGATAAACTTTCTTAGTCAAAGAATTGATCCATAGATAACTTTACAAGAAATAACATTCGCAATATTTCACTGTGAAAATCCTATGAAATATCTAAAATTTTGTTGATCAGTCCGAAAATCAAAAGGACACAACCAAGGACCAAAAGGAATTTACATAAGAAAAAAACGATGTACATTCAGTACTTAAGAAATAGCAATAACATAACTTTTGTTGTCAAAATACAAGATGGCCACCTGTCAACCATTTTGTTTTCTAGATCAATCTCAGACTTGAATGGGCACAAGGAACCAAGCAAAACCTATATGTCAAGTCTAAAATACCTCCTTCCAATGAAACAGCGACAACAAACTTTGAACTGCTTCAACACAACAGGCAAATGATAAAGGCATGTTTTGTTTCTTGTTTTTTAATGACCATAATTACCTAGGTAACAGACTGGGATGTTCATAAATATATTAATCCCCAGGACTGCTCATTTTCGTGTTTCATGTTTCAATATGGTAGATTATATCATCAATTGAGCAATTCAAGAATGACCATAAGTTTTCTCTGTAATAACGGTTTCCCTATTTCAGATGAACACAGAGAATAGAAAAATTTAACACACAAACTGCTGTAAATTTAATTTTGTTTATTTGTACTACAAAATGTAGTTAAGACAAAACACAGTACATCATCAACATGTATCGAAGATATTTCTCATCTGTACAATTACAGGTAGTCTCCATTTGATTGTCATGTACACTCAATACCAAAAATTTTACAAACTGCCATGTATATACTTTCGACACAGACAAGTTGTTCATTTCTATTTTCTTTCCGACAGGTGCAAGGTATTCCTCTATTCCGTCTTCTTATAATCGATATGAATTGTGAATCATGTCAATTATTCTTTTAGAGAATAGTTGTACTTAATATTTGTTGTTTTTAAATTTATATAGAAGTTTGAACACATGAGTGCAGGTGGTAATCAGAGGTACAAATGTAGATGTTACTTGATAATCCAGCCATACTGATCCTGTTATATAAAGGTTAAGTGAGATCAAAATGTCTTTGACTACGAGGTACCTCACAATCAGTCATGCTAATCCTGTCATATGTCAAGTGAGAACAAAACGTCTTTGACTATTTCACAATCAGTCACGACCATCCTGTTTATAACTATCTAGTCAGCACAAAATCTCTGTGATAATTCACAACCAGTCATGGCCATTCTGTTGAAAAAATATCTAGTTAGCACAAACTCTATCTAGTCACATTCATTCAAAATGCTGTCTTTTGCAGCAATCATTCACTATGGGTTAAGTTACGATTGCAGTAGACTGATGCAGTACTTTTACATAAAGTATAAACAACAGCAATGCTTACTATTTCTTTTGTTAACTAATGTACATTATATGGATAACATCTCCTTGAACTAACGAATCATACAGAAATGATATACCTTTCATCAGTTCAAATAAACTTTCACACCATATTTATATTGATGAGAAAAGAATGACAACAAAATATGAAAATTATCAATGAAAGGTATCATACACCACATGAAATATTTGATATCATGACTTTGATGAATGTCAATGAAAATGTTCAACAATGAGAGACTAGAATTAGTCGGTGTCTGCTTTCCTGTACCAGAAACGTGCTCTGAAGTCCTCGCTACATGTAATGAATGCTGGGCCTGTTGGTGAATGTGCAATGTATCGAACTGCACCATTGTGACCTGGAAAGATAAAAGAAAAATTTACAATATACCAGGTAAAACAACATCTTTAGTCCAGAGGTTCCATTTGTTCAGTCAATCAGTTCTAACTATAATTCACACACCTGCTTTTGGGACAAAGTAACACCAGATAATCAAATATTTTAAATAAAACAACCATGTAATCAAGACCCTGACTTTGCCTTGAGGTGCAAATTGTATTTCACAGTATAAAATCACAAATAATCATTAACTGTTGTAAGACACTTGGTAAACCAACACTTCAGAAACATCTCAGCTAAAGAATTTTTACCCTCACCTCTCAACCGAGAAACCAGGGTAATTTTCCTTTATCAATTTGTCCAGTTGGACAAGGGCTGTTCCTTTAAACCTAACAATTTTATTTTGCTTCTTGACTAAGCCTTTTGAAGCCTGCATTAATATTTTAAGGTCTTCCCCCCATTTAAACTTTTCTGTCGAACAAAGTCTTTAAAAAAATAGAAGGATATTTCTGACAATGCTACTGAATAATTACCTAATGACAGCAGTCGCTGTCTTTCAGCATTCCTGGAATCCCAACAACACAGACTTGTTGTAGCTTCATCAGGAAACAACACTGTAATTAGATATAAAATAATATGGTGATTAAAAGGTGCAGTCCAAAGACATATTACAACAAAAGTAGAACAGAAGTTCTTATATCACAACCAGTAAGAAAATTCTTTCTACTTGTGTTGTATATATATATATATAGGATCTCAAAGCAGTTTTCACTTCAATATGATTTTATGTTGTTAGAATTTTTTTATCATTTTGAGTCTTGGATAGCAAACATTAAATCTTTGAAATGAAAAAATATTTTAGAAACTTTGTTTGAATGTTTAAAATGACATACTTTTTCATTGTTTTGAGTAACCTTTACAAACATATATGACTAGGTAGGGGTTTAGCCTTATCACTTCCACAATATGTATCTAGCAATAGGCCCAGATCTGGTAATAAGCCCATCCATATTAATTTCAGTTGTGTAGAGACAACAACAAATACCTTGTCGTTGTCCTATGATAAGTTCATCACCCACCAGGGATTACCTGTTAAGTCATCTAGGCTTATATCAAGAAAAATATTGTAAGCCAGATTTGAGAAATCATTCCAGATTAAAATTTGATGTCGCATATAAAAAAAAGTGGCTTTAAGCATAAAAATCAGTATCAATGATTCAAATCTGTAAATAATTTGTGTAATACTAACCATAATCCTCTGTGTGGTTAAATACCCCCTGAGTGCGGTGCTGCTGTTTGCCAGTAGCCCCTGCTCCCGTGTATACAATTAGACATCTATTAGTGGACAGTTCCCATAGCTTCACCAGTGAGTCTTTACCACTTGACACTACATACTGCAACAATGAAAAAAAACATGTTACCAAACTTGACAGCATTAATTTATATACGAACAAAGTTTTTTTTTTTTCCTTCTCTGCAAGGATAAATATGAAAGGATCTGATCTTGGTACTTCTGTCCACTTTAAGTTCCAAGAAGGATATGCATGCCAAGCTTAGGGTTTAGAGAAAGGCAAAAAATACACTGCCACCATTAAATGCTGTTGTGCCAAGAATGTGATTTTGATGGTATGCAGTATTTCTTGGTTCCAAACCCAAACACTGTTGCCTGTCAGACTAAGTAAAAAGTGGCTTTAATCAGATTAACAGACTCTTTATCAAGACCTAATATTTCATGTTCAGTGATCACTTGCAGTCTTGCTTGTTTGTGCCTTCCAGTTAACAGAGGACCTTTTACTGGTCTGCAAGAGCAAAGTCGCCCATTGTTCAAACACCCATTGACAGTACACCAGCTAACTCAACACAGACATTCCACATTTGTTTGAGCCTGTTGGCAGTGGTGAGTGTTCGCCTATCTGTTTACACATAAGTCTATCTCTTCTATTTATGGCATTCTAAGGTCTGCCAGACCTGGGACACTTGTCTACATTCCCAGTTTGGTTTAGATGTGGCATCAACCGAGATATAACAGAATGGCTGGCATTAAAATGTGCAGCTGCTTGCCTGTATGTCATACTACCTTGAACCATTCTAGAAGCTTGCCATCTTTCAGCATTAGTCAATTCTTGACATGCCATTTTTTTACCACAGGAAAAAAATCCGTTTTGATTACATTAAACTTTTCTTACTGAAAAGGCAAAGTGTATATATCATATATATGCTCTACAAATATTTCTCTGCTTCAAAAATAATACTAATAACATTAGAAGACTTATTGTCATAGAAAATAGGATGCATTCTAACATAAAGACAAACCTTTGAATTCCTGGAAAAGGTGACAGAGCAGACCTCATTGCCATCATGTGCCTTTTTGAATGTGTTAATACAGAGATTGCTAACTCCATCCCAGATCTTGATGTCACCGTCCTTAGAACTTGTCACAAATAAATTGGCATTAGGACACCATTTCACCTGGCAAAGAAAATATTTACATTACAAAAACTTTTAATCTGGCAATGAAAATATTGACATGAGAACAATCTCTGACCTGGCAGTTAGTGTTGTTTTTGAAGTAAAGTGTCTACATCATTTGAATTGTCAATAAGCACAAGACGGGTATTTAGTCATCCACTAATGTTGATGATCTATAGAATTCCAAACAGATGCAAATTTATTGCTATGAGATTAACTTCGACGTCGAGCCAGAATTTCTATGCTATATGTTAAATGCTTATTGCAATATTAATATGGCATTATCTTATGTACGTATTGCTGTTAAAAGTGTTTCATGTTGAATGACAGAAAACAGAATTTATGTACTTACTGCTGTTAGTGGTCCCTCGTGTTGATGGCTTGGGTGACGTCCAACAAAACACTGGAATGTGTTCACATCATACAGACGTACTACAATACAATCACATCCAAAATTTATGGTCTACAACTTTTGTCCAGTGAAATGACAGGAAATTGGTCTCAATTGTTTTTAGTTCACAAGAATCTCTTGACATGTATATGATATAGTCAGTCAATAAAGTCAAGAGATAGTGTTAATATAGCCAAAAAGGATGACTATAACGATGTACCTATTACTGCAATTTGTGGACCAAAACAATACTTGAACATCTCAAAGTAGTGTAATTAATGGCTTTATTTTTTTGGGGGTATTTTTTTTATTTTTCAAAGATTTTTAATATATATACATTACACAGATCAACAACCATACACACATTCACTCAAGCGTCGTCATCGTTGTCGTCGTCGTCATCTTACATATACAGTATGCCTTATACATTTACATGTATATCATCATCATCATCCTTATACATATCTTCAACATGAACACCAATTTTCTTAAATATTGCGGTATAATATCTTCAGTTAAAGCTTTCTTATCAGATAAAATGCCTTTAATAGTAACAGTAATACGGCCAATAATACCAATTAATGTCAAACTTACATGTGGGATGTTTAGTACCACACAGGATATATTCACCAGAGGGATGGAAGGACAGACAGCGTACCTCTGATGCTTCCTGTAAAAGTGATTTTAAACCTTAATGGAATTATTCTGGTTTATTGACTATCATATGCAAATCACAAAGATCAATGAGTAAAAAACTGACTGAGGAAACCCTAGGACAAGATCAAAATTAATAAAAAAAAAAAAATTATAAATCACACTAAAATCCCATTCAGGAATGCACATTTACAGTCCATGATAAAATGCCTACCAAAATTGTCAAAAATAAGAGAAAGAGAGAATAATAATTTTTCTTCCCTTCAAAATCTGTGTATGTGTAGCATGCACATTGGCCTTAGATTTGAGATGCAAACTTCAATGCATAACTTTAATGTTTAGTGAAACCATGTAAAGATTCACGACATTCAGAAGAAAAATGTATGCACTGTCTATCTCATATGGAATTCAATTTTGGCAATATCATATGAACCATATTCACACAATGTTCCCTTTCTTATAAGATGACCACATCACCTACCTGTATACTTTTGTATGCTTTTTTAACTGAGGGTTTAGAATATTCAAAGAATTTGATGCTGTAATCTTTGCTGCCAGAAGCCAGAATTTGATGGTTTGGATGAAAGTCTAGGCAGGTCACCTCCTGTAAACAAAGACTATCTGAATATAATTCAACATTCAACTCTTAGTTTCCTAGCATAAAGTTGAGTATTAAACAAACTTTCTTCATTTCTTATAAGCTAGTGGGATAAGAAACTTGACCAACAACTTCATATAATACTGATATTAAATCAAAAAGCATTTCCTTCTGAAAGGTCTTCAAATTAAAAAAAAACAAAAACTTAAATAAAATTAAAAAAAACACAGCTAAACATAATCTTACATCATTATGATCATATAAAGTTCTTATGACAGGATGGTTTTCCATGGCTTGTTGAGGTGTTTCCATGGCGATGATTTCAGCTGGTGTAGCACTCTTAGCCAACATCCTCTCAACATCCAAAATCTGAAAACAAAATTATCATCAGTTTTCTAAATGTATGCATCACAATATAAAACCAATCAAAAAGATAAAAGAAGGATTCAATTTCTAGTCAATTATATTCTCTCTACAACAGATGTCATCCATTTCAAGACAAGTGTATGATCACTCTTTCATGTGTTGTACTTTGTTGTACTTTTGATGAAACAATCACTATTTCATGTGTTGTCACTTTAATGATGCAGTCTCCTTTTAAAATGTTGTCCATTTAATGACACAATCACTTTTTTCTGAGATGTCCACTAAATAATGTGGTCATTTCATATATTCATATTTCACTTTTCATATTTCATTTATGACATTTCAGATGTCGTCCATTTACTCACTGTCAATATTTCCTCAGATAAGAATACTTTTTGTAAAACTTCACAAAACTGATTCAGAGCTTTTAATCATTTTCTTTCTACATTATGCAAGGTTTGATCTCAGATTGGAGCAAATCTGATGTAGACATGACAACTAAGTTACATCAGAAGAAATCTTATCTTAAACATGACTCATAAAAAGTGTGATGTCATATGTCAAAACATGTTACATGTATTACAATCTGAAAAAAAGATAACCTGTTATGACATCACATGACATTACACTTTGATCGACAAACACAACATGTATGACAATTAATACAGGTATACCAAATATGATTGTTTTTACCTTGATAGAAGAATCCTCTGATCCGGTAGCAATCAGCTTCCCTTTTAAAGTTAAACACACATAAATCAAATCACAATTCAATATACTGCATATATCAATTTACGTCAAAAGCAGATTTAATTCATTTATATTATATATAGAAACACTACTTTTTAAAAAAAATTTCTCAGAACTTAAGAGTCATTGTTTGAGCAAAATGTGTATTTTCTTCACAGATTTGCTAGTGTAAGCTATTTATGTGACCAAATACATTGATATAACAAAACCTGAAAATATCTTAAATACATCTCATTCCAATAAAAATCAGTATAATCTGTTACAGATTTCAACAAAAAGAAATGGTGACCTTCGAATGCCAAAATATTATCATGTCATCAGAAATTGATGGTTACAAATGTCTACTCAAAACAAAAAAAACCATCAAAATCTTTGGTTCCAAGCCTTGTGCTCTTCACTACTGTTAACAGTCATGGCACTTACCTCCACTGTGAAAGGCCCCTGCACGACATGGCCCCTTGTGAGCAGTCACATAACAGGTCTCATACAATGCTGCCTCTGGTGATATGGTTTGGACTAAGAAAAAAAAAAAAACACCAATGAACAGATTTTAAACACTTTCCTTAATCCTACAAGACAAATGTTGTGTCACCTTTGCAGATGAGTAAAGCTGCCTTTGTGATATTTCAATCACCAAATGATCAATTTACCAAGAATTAAATATGTGACAGGCAGTGATATTTTGCCTGGCTGACAACTCAGACAACGCACACACCAAAAAAAAAACCATCACAATTGGTACATATGTCCCACATCACCACTTTTGTTTGAAATTGGTTAAGATAAATCAAATCTAAAATATTTTTTTAGTAGAAATATGACTGTCGTAGCAACCTACTACTCATGGTGATATACCTCTCTGAACATGAATTCAAACACTTTTCAGATTTGTTTTTAACAGTAGGGCATACAATCACACATAAATGATGTAAAATTTAACTAAAAAAATAACAAAATATGCCAGTGAAATATGAATTCCTTTGCTGGCAATAAACAAAACTTTCCTTTCAAGGGCCATAACTCTAGAGGGATGGTCTGCAGTAACTGTGTTAGATGTAAAATATGTGCAAACAGAATACAAAGTGTATGGTTTCATACTTTGGGTTGGTGTCAAATCCAGGAATTTCATAACTATACCTATAAATGAAATCAAGTTCAAGTGCACATACCATCTGTTTCATATTCCAAGTCTATACCAGATCCTGGGGCCACATTCTCTGATCCTATCAGTTCCTTTCCATGGATCTCTGTACATATAATGATAGTAAATGTATTACTAAAAGCATGTGAAAACTAGTTACAGACAGAAGAGTGACATGAAATCATGTGACAGCAACGTGTAAATGCATTCCTGATTAGCAGCATGAATGGTAATTGAAAAAATAACATTAAGTGATTTTATTTTCGAAGCTGATCCATTGAATGATCTGAAAAATTTGAATGCAATATCTACATTTTTCATTCAATTTTCTTAATTGATTTATAAAGCAACAAGTCGTTGAAGCAAATACATCACCTCTGACTCAAAGTGACAGACTTTAAACATAATGACGAGATATGAATTGCATATATTTCTGAAAAGCATCAGATTTAGGAAGAAGAGTATTATTTTAAAAAGATGTGGGCTCATTTCTAATGTTAAAGTTAATTTCTTATTCTAGTGCGTGTAAGGAACTATAGAGTCACTTAAAGATGATTATTGCCCAATGTACCTTCCTCTATCTCCAGACCATATTTGAGCACCTTGAAAAGTCGGTCAGAAGGCGGACAGGCTGGATGGGCCTTCACTAGAGTTGATAGTGACACAGCCAGTTTTTGATGTCCATCATAGAACAGTTGACTGAAAATCAAATCTTCTTTTAATGAATAGAAAAGATTTTGACCAACAACAACACTTTGACTTTGCTCAGGAATTAACTTACTAATGTCCAGGAATTAACTTACTAATGCCCAGGAATTAACTTACTAACATTCCAGTAAGATGACTGAATCACGACAACCATGGTATGTTTGCGAAGTTTATTGCCTTTTAAACAGCAGGAACCATTTCGAGCCAGGGTCACCTTACACTGCAGTTGCTGATGACCAACACATTGAACAACATATGGGAGATAAAATGCATTCTATCCATAGCAATTGGGGCAAAGTATCTTGCCAAATTGAAGAATACAGCATAAAAGGCATATTCTTTTCTTTGTATGTCCACATAAATAAGCATGTGGGACGTAATCTGATAGACGGATAAATAAATAAATGACCAAAAAAAACAAAAACATGCAACGGTTAAAACCTAAACCGATGGAGGGACTTCGAGGGCTATCAGGCAGTGTTCATGTATTCTGAAGATAACTGACTTGGCCATTATTCATTTCGATCTATTATTATTCCTAAATTCTATTTTTGTCGCAATACCTTATCATCAATCTGTACATCAAATCTCTCTGTTTAACTTCATCGTGTTCGGACCCCATCTTGATGCTACCATCCGGAACTTTTTGGGACTTTACCTCTGCTCTCCACAAACGATCAGAAATGTCCCGGATACCCCTCCTGCAGCGCCATCTTGTTCCTTTACAAAGGTAGGGATTCGACGCTCAGCATGGTCACATATTGTTTTTTTTCCTATTTCTCTCTCTATCTCTTTAGACTGCGATTTTAACATAAAAGCCAGTTCTTACGTCAAAAAAATCTGGGATTTTAAGACAAAAGGTAGTTTCATTATTTCTAAAAGACAAATGTTTAGTGTGCAAATATTGTGTCTGTTGAGCCGATAAATCTTGATTAAAATCCAAATTCGAAGAAACTATGACAAATAAATTAAAATGAATTCAGACGTCTTTTGTACGTAAACAGCACAATGCCAATGTTCTTATTTAAATACTTTATTTATGATACATCGGATCAAACACTTAATTCCAACTTGAATGGTTTATGCCTGTTTTAAGGGTTCATCATTCACAAAACTGTCATTAAACAATGAAACTGCTACACTATGAACAAAGGAATATTACATGGAGACCCATGAAAAAGTACAGGGCAAATAAGAACAGGTATCCCAGAAGGAAAAGCGTCTTTTGCTTCATCGACGCTGTGACATTACTTGCTTGGATTGACCAAGGTTTGAGTGACAGGTGGCATATGAACATTAAATGATAAAAAAAATGTCTGTTTATCTAACAAGGAGCATACGGAGGTTAAAAAAAAGGACATAAATAAAAAGATAAAATACTGATATCCCTCTGTGGCTTTTCGAAAAAGAATAGGCGTTATAAAGCCTGTCCATGGGTTAGGCTATACAGTTATTTTAAGGCATTTTGACGGACTTCAAAATTACTCTAACCTAAACAAAATCTAAGTAAGCCCCCAATTCTTCCTTTCTGCTTTTGGACATGTTTCAACTGCTAGAGTTAGGATAAGGAATTATTAGGCCCTGAAGCCGTCTTCTAAAACTAGTATATTAAAACGATCACCGCTACAGACGGTTCCATACCACTGAGGGGGACTCGTTAAGATCGACCGTGCTTGCCACAGAGGCCGGAAATTATTCCGTGCGACACTTTTGATGAATGGAATGCCTGTAACCTAACCCCAATGGTTAAATTAAACCTACATACAAGAAAGAATTCTTGCCTTCCTTTATTAAAGGTGGTGCCACCTGTCTAATGTGGACATACAAACAATTCGGCGATTACAGCATTATGCACCAAAACATTTACTGAATCTCAGGGTACCAATAACATCCTATGTGACGGATAGTATGCTTGGTGTTATAAAATTTGACGCTGAAATATGCAAACTAATAACTATTTTTCTTCAAAAAATCCTTTCCCTGGACTACATGTACAACATCAAACTCCGGATTTTCCTCATTGGATTGTTCCAATATTTTCTCGATCAAGAAATATATCGACACCAAACTTGCCCAGTATAGCCTTAGGAAGTATCTAGAATCGTACTTAGAGCTCGTAATTTCCCTGCCAAACATGAATGGAAGAGGATTTTAAACCGTGTCTTTCTATGTCGTGAAAACACGTCACTTCAGAACGGGCTCGACGTCGATCCAGACTAACACTTTTAGATACTCAAAGCATACACATTAAATGTCCCAACAAATGGTAAGCAGACTATAGACGTATATTTATTTTACAAACTCATTAACACCTTGCCAAATTTCACATCGTCATTATGTCACCAATGTCGTTACCAAATGGATGAGATTCTACTTTATTTTAATGACAATGTATATTGGAAGCTCGTCTAAATTTCCTAATAAATAGTCATTGAAAATGCTGACCTTGACTTCACCTCTGGCTGACGATATCGAGCCTAGTTTTTTTTCATAAACCCACAGAGGTGTCTTTATCTGCGAATTGGACATGGGTCATCATTTTAAAGTCCCATCCGACGGACTGTGTGTTAGTGGTTATTAGTTAGTAAAGTGCCCGTGCTGATATATTTTGGTGTCCGTATGTAAGTCTTCTTTCCGTATTTGTCTGCCACTCTGCCTGTAAACTGTTCACTTGAACAATGTCCATAGTTTTTATAAATCCGCACCATTCCTGACATTATGTAACCGCGGTTCACATTCCGATTGTTATATATTTATGGTTTGTGAATGTCAGGTTAGTATTGTGAGGGCTGAATGTGTTAATAGGGTTTAGTAATAGGTTAATATACTTCTTAGCAGACTAGCTATTGACCGAGTACGTAAATAACCTTGCAAGGCTGTTCTCAGCTGTTGAGTATAAGAGACTCATTTGCATGTGTTCTGTTGACTGGTTGGAACATGATCACGAATGTTCGCTTATGAAATCAGGCAGGCGTGGAGTGTCCAATCCTATTTAGCATTTACAAAAATCCAGTTTCAAAGTTATGTATGCATATCAGGGATACATGAAAAACGATCAGTTCGTTCATAAAAAAATAGATAAAACCAGCTGATCAATTAACATAACCAACTGAAATGTTCTTTTATCTGACTGAGGTGACTGGAATTGTTCATCTACTGTGTAACAGAAGAATGCCATGGTCATATAAACGAGTTTTGTATAACTTCTTATTTGTTTATAAAGTCACCAATATCATCTTATAAGTTATAAATGCGAACATTTAGAAAATGAAACACGCAAATGAAATATTTTGTATAAAGACCTGGACATGGTTACCATGAAAATAATACGTGGAGGTCAACTTAGCCAACCTTTTTAATTATTAGTTCGCAGCGAATGTTGAACGTTAGGAATACTACGGTAAATCCCTTCGGAACAAAAAAGTACATTCGGAATAACTTAAGGCTTTCGCGCACGCGCAACTGACGGTTTTATTCCAGAACCGGCAAGCAAGGTGAGTCTACGACAGTAGGTTTTTGAAATTTGTGCGAAGTATTATTTCTGTCGTGTTTTAAATGATGTTTTTAGTGACTAGAATAAGAACATGCATGACTGGTTACACTGCAGTTATATATGCATTTGAATAATCATCGAAATTGAAGACATGCATACACGACTTCTATCACGCTTTCCGTTCATGTCATCATTTCCTACTTGTTTTTTACGCAAGCTCATGTTTCCTCAATATTAAGAGAATGTCAGCTTTAATTACGCATAAGATATTTTAATTCATGTTTCATTGAAATATTTTGTGCATAAATGAAACTTGCATTCTTCTTACTGTCCTTGTATGGTAGCCAAGCTTAGCATCACAACGACCTTGTGCGAGCGTGTCAAGGACATTGTAGGTCTTTTGACGGACATAGTACGACTGCCAACCTTCACTTCTCATGGTACGATGCCATGTCTTTCGCTGATCTTTCCACAGGCTTAGCTTAAGACATATCTAAGTCTGTGCTCTTTCTATAAATTTAGATGACTTGCAATAATCAGAGATCTGTCTAGGAAAGTATTGGAGGCTGTATTATATATTATTGATTTAAAGTGATACACACTAACTGTTGATGGTTTAGTGTATTATCTGTTGTGATTTGGCCGGATATAAATTCCTTTCTTTTGTTTAATATTGTATAAATGATATCCTGAATTAGTGTGGGACACTTTGATGAAATTAATATCATCATTATTATGTAATGTACTAATGCATCAGCATTGTGCAGAAATCTCTCGCATTCAATTAAGTTAATATTAACTTGATTTGGTCTGAATTGAATTATATTTAAACTGATTTACAGTCAGTGTTACAGTCCTGGAGTGTTTGTTTTCTGGGGATTTAAGAAATCATGACATGGAAATTATTTACAAAAATGCTATTCCAGACAAAGAAGAATAATCTTGTACTTTAAAAGTTTCACGTTTTCTTCAGGTAGATTTATTAACAAGAAATTGTTAGCTAGGTTATTAAACATGGGGGATACATTGATGCAATGTTTTCATTTTATTTCATCAAATTTGAATTATTCATGCTCAGAAAGACATCAGATGTGACATTTACACTATCCTTATACCCCTGGAAACTTGACAAATTCTTTCCTGGAGGGCGGTGGGGGGGGGTATAACATTGTTAAATACTAGCAAGATAATGCTGAACTAGTGAGGATCTCTCTTTAGCTCAATTAGTAGAGCATCAGGCTAGTAAACCAAAGATTCCTGGTTAGAACCTGAGCAGAGACATTGAAATAGATAATAGACCCGGTTAGGTTGGTATTGGTGTAGGGACTCAGAAATGATACTAAGTGTTTCTTTAATAAGCACCACTGTTACCCCTAGGAACTTGAGACCAAGTTATTCCTGAAGAGTTGGTTTGTAACCCTGATAAATATTAGCTGCAATATACCACTCAGCTAGAGAGAAATTCTCTTTAAGTTGATCGGTTGAGCGTCAGACTAGTATGTCAGAAGTCCTGAGTTTTAATCCTAGTGGAGGCCCATTCAGAATATTCTTGCAATTCATTTTGTTATCCCACACCCAATCAAAGTTGGCGGGGGATATTCAAATGGGCTCTGTCCGTCCGTCAATCCATCTGGATGCTGCTTTCCGTATGATATCTTTTGAAGGATTTGTCAGATATTGATGAAACTTGGTTGATACACATGTTACTTTCATCCCTTGCACAAGTTCGATTAACAGAAAATTCTGTGCATATTTAATGAGGCTGCTGTAACCTAATTGGCTGATGTCTTAAATCACTCTATAGGAATGCTTTCTGCACATTCTCTTATAAAAGAATGATTAGATTTTTAGGAAACTTGCTTCGTAGACTTATTAACTTAATTCCTTGTCAAAGTTCCATTATCGGCAAATTCTATGCTTATTTTGTGAGACTGCTGTGAACTGATTGGCTGATATCTTCCAGCACTCTAACTGAATGCTTTCCTTGTGCTATCTTTTGAAGGAACAAATGAATTATGATAAGACTTGCTTGTTAGACTAGTTACCTAAACCCCTTGTCCTAGTTTGATTATCGACAAATTCTGCACATATCTAATGAGGCTGCAGTGACCTGATTGGCTGACATCTTTTATAATTTTCATTGGACCTTGGAACCTTGAAAGAGGATCAAAGTCGACCTTATTGATAAACCTTTTGGTCCTTTATCCTGATATGTTACTGACGAAATAATGCAAATTTGACTCATTTTTTGCAATTGTTCAAAATGGCGAACCATCTTGCAGGTAACAGTGTAAATGTTACAGACATGTTACATACTGAAGACTTCATTAGAATGGAAATACCCTGTCAATTTCAAAAAGAATTTTTCGAAACTGTTGTGAAATTTAAAAAAATTGTAAAAGCTGATGACCTCTGACCCTATAGCAAGCTTTTTAATTTGACCTAGGTATTTATATGTCCATTATGAAATTTAGCCCTCTACATTGTCTACCATAGTATCATTTCAGGAAAGCTGTACAGTAAATACTTTTTGAGCTATGGCCATTTTAAACTTTTGACATATGACATTGTATTGGCCATATTGTTTTGATTTTTTATTCAAATCAAATATATATCAAATGATAGGAAACCAAACAATATCAATAGGTCATTTTTTCAGTTGGTAAAATGTGCTAATAAACCTATGATAGTGAATCTCCAAAATGTTTTTAGAAGCCTAATGTTCGAAGTGATGTTACACTATCACCAGTTATGATTTGTTTTGCTGATAGTAACTTTCTTGCAATTTTACATATCTTGGCTATTAGATGCTGCATTGTATTTTATTCATGTGTATAAACCATTTCACTGTCTTGTCATACTTGAGCAGTAATGAAATCTTTGTTTGATCTAGCATGACTGAAATTAGTGACAAATATTCTATCATTACTATTTGGTTAAAGAAGGGAATATAAAGGTATGATCAGCTGATTTTAATATTCATAGTATTATGCTACGAAATTGTTATTATATTGTTCACTTTCAACAGAACTTTTAGCTGAACATAAACAATAAGTGGTTTCAGTACTTTAGTGTACTTTAATGTATATATTTTACAAATGAACAGTGGTAGGGGATCTTGATAACTCTGTCTTTGCTTACATTAATTGAAGTTATTTTGTTTTAGATCTGTGACAGCAGAACCATCACATCAACACCAACATGTCTGATATCAAAGTAGGAATCAATGGGTAAGTTTGTCAGAATGTTCAGTTTTGTTCACATCATCATGATGTGAATACTTAACAACCTTTAAATACTAAATGGAACCCATTTAATGTCACTTTCTGGTTAATATCATGTTTTCTTCTTAAGGGAAAAACAAATCTATTGAGGAATTTCTTATCTGCAATGATTTCTAATTGATGCAAGTCAGCTTGGTGCATCAGAAAGTTAACTTCTGGGTTTTGATGTCAGAAAACATGTCAACTTTTGATATCACATTTCCTTGAGACAAATGGACCATGATATTAAACAGGTTTCACCTTACCTATATTTTTATTTCTGGGACACAATTATATGAGACCTGGATTTGTGCTGTTTCTCTATAATTGGGATTAATCCACAAATGCCTGACATGCTAGGAACACCTATTACTACCCTGCTACTTTATAGGGATAGGGCATACACAGTTCCCCATGTCAGTAGTCCTGTCTCATCTCATGTATTACATTCTGTATTAGTCTTTAGGATCTCTCAAAAGATTTGGTTTATATTTAGTAAATAACTCCATGGTGTCAGCAAGTTCTCAGTAAGTAGTGCGTTTGTCTATACAGCCTAAGATAAAAATCCATGCTGTGTAAATTGATGCTCCCTGGATCAACTAAAAAACAATACATATATGTATGTAGCATTCCTATTATCGTGTTGATATTTCCTCGTTGAAGACCATGGTATCAAGTCATCAACATGTTTTTGGAAAATTTTCATCGGTATCTTTGACTTTATTTGTGATTTTTTAATCTATGTACATTTATGTAAGTTTCTTCAACATTTAGTAATGAACACCAACATACCTGGTACACAAATTTACTTAACAAATGTTTATAGTTGATCAATTCATGACATTCTGCTTGATTAATGATTTAATTTCATCTGGAATTATTTTGACTGAATTACTTTTACCTCCAGATTTGGTCGTATTGGCCGTCTCGTTCTGCGTGCTGCAGTGGCAAAAGGTGTCAGCGTTGTTGCAGTCAACGATCCCTTTATTGAATTGGAATACATGGTAAGAATTTGGATCTTTAGGAAGGTGTTAACTGTAAACTGGATATTTTAATTCATTAAGGATTTCATATTTCCACAAATTTATGAGATGTTGTTTAATAGTCCAATACTACATTGTAAGTCTATTTCTCGTTCTAGCACCATCAAACCTTTCAGCTAGGCTGCTAGATTAGGGACATATAACATTAAATGATGAATAAGAAATTTAGAAGTGCTTTCCAGCTGCCATTTAATGCTTGCTGCAGAAATGATGTAGAAATGAGTTTTTTTACAATGTATTTTTAGTGTTCTACTTGCGTTGACAGGTATATATGTTAAAGTACGATTCCACACACGGAAAATTCCCACACTCCATTGAATGTGACAAAGACAACCAAAAACTTATCGTCAATGGACAACCAATCTCTGTCTTCAATGAGTAAGTATAATTGCCAAATAAAAGTGAACTCCTAGTTTATTGAAATCTGTTTTGAAAAGTTCACAATGTTTTTGACCAAATCTTATTCTATACACCGTTAGGTGTATTGATGTAATCAGTCTGCATAGAATATGGAGTATATTTTCCTGACAACTAAACTTCTTAACTTGATAAAGCCAAGGAGTGAACATTTTGATTTTTTATTATTCAAAAGGAAAGTATTTTGTACAAATTAGATAGCTTTTGATTGCCATTGGTCAAACCCTTGGATGCTAGTATTGAAGATATTTTTATGAATATATACTCATACCTACACACCATTTATATTTCTTACTTTGCCCCTGTCCATTCAGTAAATTTTGAGAAGTGCTGGTTTAATTGTATTGAAGAGCACTGTTCTAATAATGCTTCACCCAATTCTGATACCAGGTATGTTCAGTTTCTTTGATGTGGTCAGGTAAACATGAAAGCAGTTTTCTTTTAGACTATGAATAATTTTTTTGTGCAACGAAGAGAGTAATCATATACATGTATAAAAATTTGTTTCAGGCGTGACCCCGGTAATATCGCCTGGGCTGGAGCAGGTGCCGAGTATGTTGTAGAATCCACAGGGGTCTTCACAACATTAGAAAAGGCTGGTGTAAGTATAATGATGTGTATGTAGAGCAGTGATGTACCTGTTTGCTGTTATCTGTTCTAAGGTACGGTACATGTGCAGATTGTGTTAGCAGGCTTAGAAGCGTTAAAGTTTATGTATATTGATGAGTTGATGGGTCACCACATTTTTAAATATCACAGATGGAGGACATTTTTTGTGATAGAGTTCTGTTAACACAAATATGTATTTCTGCTGGTTTTCCACTGTGAACAATCACAGTCGTTCTTAATTATAACATCAATATTAAGGTTAGTAAATGAGGGTTACTAAATGAAAGCTACTAGGGTGGAGCTGAGAGGTTGTATGGGATGAGAGAGGTCAGCTAATGGTTTGAAATGAATGATTACATAATAGACCAGTCATCATAGTAATATTTAAATCAAAACCTGTTTTGCCTTTGTTTTTGTCACTGACGTAGAATGATTTGTTTATAGGCACACAAGAAAGGAGGTGCCAAGAAGGTTATCATTTCTGCACCATCTGCAGATGCACCTATGTTTGTCATGGGTGTCAACCACAAAAAATATGATAAGAGCAGCATGGACATTGTCAGGTAAGTTGTCTTTAGGTATGCCCTACCTGTCCATAGAAACCAACAAAATTTGTTTGGTACATTCTTCATTTAGTATCTGTAGGTGACCAATTGATATCTTATTGTGTGTCTGTCCATGAATACTTAATATCTAAAACACTTAATAGAGTTAAAGATGTCAATAGCATAATGTTGTCAAGGGCCGATACTTGTCCCAGCCCCCATTTCTTCACGATTGCTTATATGTTGTTAAACATTCAAGTGCATGCTCATCCATGCATTGTCCTTAGATGTGTCTTATCTACTTGATCAAACTTTAAAGTCCCAAATGAAGGATAAATGCCAGGTGTGAACTAGTAAGATGTTTTCTCATACTTGACATTGCACATACATAATTTAGTTTGACATTCATATTACATTGACAGAATAAAGTAAGGGATGGGTTAACTTCACTAAACTCAAACCTCCCAGTGTTTGCTCTTCCTTCATATATTTTTGAAAGAATGAATAAATATATATGTTATCATTAACCCACTTGTCTCGAGGTCAAATTAATCACAGATACTTGAAAGAAACACAGCATGCACTACTTCAGTGCTTTGATTTGGGTGTCACTCTGTGGGCCCTCAAAAGATTATGGTGAAGATCTAAGTGAATAACACCTTGTACTCAAAATTTGGAATTTTGCTTTAGTTTTTATGCAAGCTTGCATGTGGCATAAATTCACAATTAACTTTTCATAAATAAAACCATTTGAAAAACAGACTCATTAATATTCACCGATTTGTGAAATAAAAAAATGCAAGAAACCAAACTAGGATAGAGATTCAGGCCCTTTGGGCCTCTTGTTACACCAAAGTATAGTGAAGTCAGGGTACAAACCTTTTGTAAATAACTTATAGCAACAGTTACATTGATCGTGCATTATCTAAAACCATGTTTTGTCTTACTGCTGATGTTTTTGAGGAAACCATTACTTGAAAAATTTTGCTTGTTTAGGGTGTTTTTTTTTTTTTTTTTTTTAACTTTCCTTTATATAACTGTGTCCATATAAATGTTGTTGTAGTTGTCATTCCTGATTCTGTTTTCCATAGCAATGCTTCCTGTACTACCAACTGCCTGGCTCCTCTTGCCAAGGTGATCAATGACAGTTTCGGTATCACAGAGGGTCTGATGACCACAGTACATGCCATTACTGCCACACAGAAAACTGTGGATGGACCCAGTGGCAAGGATTGGCGTAGTGGCCGTGGATGCTTCCAGAGTATCATTCCAGCCTCCACAGGTGCTGCCAAGGCTGTTGGCAAGGTCATTCCAGAACTTAATGGGTATGTAGTGGTCAAGAAGTAAGATAAGATGGAGGCCAAACAGAAGAAAATTTAGCAAATTCTTCTGTAACTTTGATTTGATTTTGTCCAAAGCATCCTTTGGTGTAGGAGGCTCAATCTTGAACAAACCCTCTTGGGGGGCAGAGGGTGGGGTTCTATGAGGGAAAGAAATCAATATTTATAACATTCTTTTTCTGTTGAGATGAGGGTATTTTTTTTTTTTTAGTATGAATGATGTTAGGGTGAAGAGAAACCAATGAATGGCGAGTCCAGTGCCATCTGCAATCTGTAGGTGACCCAACAAGGGGACATTTTCTTTCAAATATCCTTGTAAATTCATGTAAATCTAGGGTCTGGTCCTTGTGGGTACAAGGGGTTAGGACCAAAGTTGGGAAATAGAGGCAAGAATTGAAAAGCATTCTTTCTGCTTGAATGAAAGTATTTTGAGGAAGTTGGGGTGAAGGCTTTGAAATTTGTCATCATTGGACCGGTGGGGGGGAGGGGGTGGGTATGTTTTGATGTGAGAGCTCAACTCTGCAGGTGAGAGTTACAGTGATCAGCTTGAATAAATACGTCTTTTGTATTCCTGCAGAAAGTTGACTGGTATGGCTTTCCGTGTACCAGTGCCTGATGTGTCTGTTGTTGACTTGACCTGCCGATTGACTAAACCTGTAAGTTAATTTGAGGATTCATATCCAAAACAATGTGTGAATTATTGCTTTTTCATGTACTGTCTGAATCTTTGAACAATTGTTTTAACCCATAATTTTAATGGACTATTTTTCAAATTCATCTGAAGTTCTCTTTGGTACTTTCAGTTGTGTGCTAGATAGTGTTTTTTTTTTCTTTTCGTTTTAGCCCACCATCATTAGATGGTGGACTATTCAAATGGCTCTACATCTGTGGTCAGTCGTCCATCAATAATAAATTTTTTTTATTGCTATATCTTGAAGTACTAGATGGATATTTCATAAATTTCATAGGAAGGTTCTCCTTGGTCCCTGGTTGTACCATTGTAATTTTGGATCTGATCAGACAAATAAAAAATGGCCAACAGATGGCCATCTTGGATTTTGACTTCGAAAGTTTGTATAAAGTTTTATAAAGAACCAATAAAAATAGTCTTCAGGCATCTCTTTCCCTGTAATTCAGAGGGTGTCCATATTTCCTGTAACCTGAATCAGAGTACAGTTTAATGTTTATAGATACCAGTGACCTGTTTGTTATTGTGGAAACACTGGTTTGTATGCACTTTTCATGTAACACTTGAGGCATAAAATGACACAGACCTGCAAATATTCAACACAGGCCTCAAAAGGCTAAGTTGAGACACATCAGAAAGCAAAATTAGATAAGAAGGTTGTCCCATATTTTGTTAACAAACAATCCTGATTCAACTGGTTAGACTGATGAAAGAAAATGGCCCTGGCCATTACATGTAGATGTTTATGGTATGGAACCTTTGTCTTTCAGGCTTCCTACGATGTAATCAAAGCTGCCATCAAAGCAGCCTCTGAGGAAGGCGATTTGAAGGGATTCCTGGGCTATACCGAGGACAAAGTAGTATCACAGGACTTCTGTGGAGATGCAAGAAGCAGCATCTTCGATGCTCTTGCTGGAATTGCCCTCAATGACAACTTTGTGAAATTAATCTCCTGGTAAGTAACTGCTTTCTTTCTCTTTCATCATCTCGTGTCGATACCATGATGTTGATGTTGAATTTGTATTACTGAAACATAATCTGTAGGCAAGATTAAACATTGCTCTAAGTCGAAAATGGGAGCAGTGTCATTTTCATAAGAATGAAATAAAGCACTAGAAATAGGAACACTTGGTGTAATTAATTCCGCTCAAGCAGGGATGTAGCTTCCAAATAAAGAAAAAGCCCGTGATTACACATAAAAAATCCATGCATAGAGTATGTAGGACAAAAATACAAAACTAAGGTTGAAAATAAATATCATGGGTTGAAGTTTGTTGTTAAATAAATAGAAAGAAATGTCTCAGGAAACGATTCAAAACATCTTTGAAATCATGAAATTCATTTTCCGCCCCCAGACTCCTCACCTGGGCTTACACATTTCTGCTGGGCTAGCTATGCCCCTGTCAAGCATAATGGAACTTTTTCTATAATTCAAATGGTAAAAATGTAATTTTCAGCCCAAACAGTCTCTGTCAAATTTTTCTTGAAATACTGCTTGTCATAAAAGGCCATGTGGTTTTTGATCAAATTTGGTTTGAATTATCCTTGAGGGAAATTTCATAGATTTTGATCAAGCTTTATAAATATTCCAGTACAAAAAATACATCAGACCCCACTTGTATAAAACATCTCAACTTGAGATTTCCTCAAGTCGAGATTTTCCTCAGCTGATATCTCCTTGAAAATGGCTTGTATAAAATTTTCTCAAGGAACAGGAGGAAGTCATCGGCTAGGATGTCCTGAAATTCCTTGAGGAATTTTCATTCAAGATATTTTCAAGGAGATATTAGCTGAGGAAAATATGGGCTTGAGGAAATCTTAAATTGAGATATTTTATACAAGTGGGGCCATATGGGTCAAAGTTTCATGCTAACAAGGTCACCACTCTATTCATGATTTACAGAATTTTCTTCATTTTCAAATGGGCTTTATGGGAGCACTAGAGTTGTGTCAGTAATGTTGGTGACTAAAATGAAAACTTGACTACATTTTATTGAAATGGGTATATAAGGATATTATGTTATGTATGATACCCGAACTAATTGATGCCCTAATATTGATATTGCCCTAATAATGACTTCATCATCTTCTATTACAGGTATGACAACGAGTTTGGATACAGTTGCCGTGTCATCGATCTGATTACACACATGCACAATGCATAAAATCATAATAGACGCTGATACAGTCTGGTTAACATATACGTGAAAAACAACTTCAAGCTGGCATTACTTTACTTCAGTATTTTTGGCATTGTCCTCTGTAACAATATACTGGGAGAAGATCCCCAAAAGTTTACTACTTCGCATTTAACATCTGCTTATGGATACCTCGTTACTGATTTCCCCTTGAAATCCAGCTTATTTATTTTGTATATCACTCCTTCATTGTAGTTTTTAAGTTGCTGCAAAGCAATCTGGTACTTATAATGTACTGGACTCCGACATATGGTTTATTTGAACATTTTCTTGTTCAACATCACCATTGTATCAGTTGGCCATGAAGACTTCTTTTGACAGTGTATCTCCCCTATATACAGTAAGTGCTAGTTTAAAAAGTTTTGATTTTTATGTCATGTTTTTGAGATTAAACATTAAAGTATGTTAGAAGTGTTTTACACTTGAGGTAATAACTGTTGAGGGCTCTGGTTTCCCAACATGTTCTGGTGTATATTGGTGTTGAAAATAAAATGATCTGTCACAGTGTTGTTGTTCCTTTTGTTCTTTTCTTCCTTAGGTCAAAAAGGGCTGAGTCTACAGAAAGATACTTAAAAGTTTGTAAAAAAAAAATGAGGGTTAATAATCTTAAAAACAAGGTAACTCCGACAAAGCAGTAGTATATGGAACCCTGCTTACAAGAGATTTAGAGGTATAATCCTAAGAAAAGGGGGAAAAAAGTATCTCCGTCATGAGAGTGACTGCAAGACAATACTGCTAACTGATGGACACTGGGTAAAAATAATTATATAGATGCAAAGGTAAAGGAACAAAACATTTTAATCTTTAGTGGATAATCAGTGGAGTAGAGGAAGTGAAACAGCCTGAACTTGGTGCATTTTGATAGGATCAGAACAAAAGTAATCAAAATGCGACATGAACATTGCAAGAGAAACTAAGGAGAAAATTCCAGTGTGCTTTTGTCGACCCTTGTCTTTCATAATACCCAGTAATTGCATTTCTAAGAAATTAGAAATAAAAAGGTTTTTGTTCTGAGAAGGTTACAACCAAAGTTCGTCAAAGTATGGTTTACCAACATTTTCTGTATTGTTATGTAGTCTGGAATGATGCTAGGAATAAGTTGTGTATTTATATAAATAATATAGAAATGTTATTGTAACAGGGTGAAAACACCACGCCAAAGCTTGTTTTATTCTTAATAACATTTATTCAATGCATAAAAAAACCCTAGAAAAGAAACAAAGACAAACACTTAGTATTGCACACACAACATCAGGGGACATAACTCTTGCACTGTATAATTACCTATTTTTTCCTCTATTATCTAAATTATGGCAAATACAAATTGTTTACCAACTTTACAATATAATTAGATTATTCAAATTAACATTACTTATACAGTACTGTTATATGATTAAATAATACAAAACAAAGAAAATACTTCTATGACTAAATTGTCTTACTTTCCTGAAACACATACTATCCATATTTCGTATTCATTAACATCGAATATACATTTCAACGTAATAATTTTAAATGGTAAACTCACCCTACATATGGTGTAGAGGTTTATAGAGGTTCTGTAATATACACACTTGAAACTATGCTGTCTCCCGCTATCACTCTCCAATTATCTATAAAATTAATACAACTACTTAATAATTGTCATATACTGTTTAACATGACAATAGACAACACAAATTGAGAATTAAAAATATGATCAGGCAACTTTGTAGCACTGCAGATAAACTTGGGATAGCCAAACTTACAAAGAAAACAATGATATAAGTATTATACTATATACTATATATTCAAAAAATACATTTATTCTACAGGACTAATTTATTGTAATATATATTAAACAATAAATTAACTACAATATTCTGAAATATTAATAAACATATAACTTACCAATTATAATGTATCTCCGTTTCTTTCTACTCAAAAATGCATCTTTCCCCTTGGGAATCTAAATCTGTTCTCCAACAAAGAACTGAATACCGATGTTCAAATCAAGCTTACTTTCCCTCTCATGATGACTCTAGCCAATCAAAATCGTCAATGTCGGTTCACTGGACAGGTCAGTGGCTGTCATGGGTCAAACTTGTGCATGTACATGTATTTACCATATATGGGATTCATACAGGTAATAGTGTACAATTCACATCACAAGACATACAATTCACTAAAAATAAAACACATGTCAGACATATAGACATGTTACCTATTAAAAATACATATAAATATGTCAGAAGATATAAAATATGCATTTCTGACATTGTCAAGACATGCCCTAGTACTTAGGTAAACTTAAAAAGCATAAATAACACACTGTCACATTATTGCTATTTTTAACATTTCTATGGGTTTTTTTTTTTAATTTCAAAGTGTTTTGTCAATTGAAGATTAATTTATTTTGTGGAAAGCAGTTCTAACCAACCAAATTTTACTTGAGGATATTCCACGAGTTCTCTGTTTATCGATGTAAGGGGTAAAAATGTTAGCATCACATAATATTGGTTACCAAAAGTTTGGTATTACATTGTAACACTAAGAACTAGTCATTTTGATAAACAGCCATTTGTGTACATGTTCCTTTTTATTAAAGGGAATGGGAATAAAGGCACCAGTTTCATGAATCTTTATAGAAATTTTCTTTAATTTTTTTTCCATCAGAAAGCATTATATAGGTTAGGGGAACTTTCAGAAACTTACACGATTTTTTTTCTAAAGTTACATAATGAATTTATATGAGTTGAGATTTCTCTGCTTAGGAAGATTCAAGAAACTGGCACCAGGTGTATCAAAACTGGTTGGATTTTAAAAGTACACTGACTTATGATTAATGTTATGTATACAGTAGAGTTGTATAACACAAGCTGTTGCAGTACAACACGGCTCGCCTCGAAAATGTTTGTCAATAACAAAAAGATGTAGATACTTCCTTTTGTCAGACTCCATGAAGAGATAGCTAAGCCTCAAAGAAACGTTGAATTATAATATTGATGTACTAAAGTCTTCTACACAAAAATCTTGTAAATTGATTAATCTGTGTTGTAATACATCTGTAACGACTAACAAAATGCGAATGAGATCTTTATAGAAATAATAAACAAGCCATTCTTTAGTGTCTTTTATTTAATAAGCTGTACTGTACTTATTTGGATGTTTAGGAGCTTTATGGACAAAACAATTAAAAATACATGTATAGAAGGTAGAATTTTGGGGCCTAGGCAATTGATACATATGTTGTTTACGGTCAAGGCAATCAATATATATGTTGTTTAAGGCCATGACATTCAATGCATGTGTTGTTTAACACGAAGGCAATCAATACATGTGTTATGACCTTGACAATCAATAAATGCGTTGTTTATAACCAAGACAATTGATACATGTGTTGTTTATTACCAAGGCAACCAATACATGTGTTTATGACCAAGGCAATCAATATATATGTTGTTTATGACCAAAGCAATCAACACATGTGTTGTTTATTACCATGACAATCAACACGTGTTGTTTATGACCAAGGCAACCCATACATACATTGTAAAATTCAGTATATGGAATAGTGTCGCTGGTTTTTCTGAAACTTCCCAATATCCACTGTTATCAAATGGATCGAATGGATTTTATTTAGTACCGTTATAGATATAAATATATAATCCAACTCCTCAACCATAAATCAACAGACAGGATGTCGAACACAGAAACCAAGAACCAATAAGACATGTATATAAAATGCGAAATGAATTTTTCAAAAAGTGTAAAACTTGATTAAAAACTTAAATTTTTCATACAAAATATAAAATCTATTACATAATAAGTACTATATATTATTATTTCCTAAAGTACAACACTGATATAGATATATATTTAATAAACAATTACTATTGCATTTTAACACCAATTGTGTGGTAGCATAGTAATTAAAAACAAACATGTCTTTATTTGAAAGACATTTAATCTTGTAGAATTAAACAAACAAGCGATCTAGCTCCCCAGTTTAGGACCTAATGGTGCAGTCATAAAACAAACTACCTTGTGACAGAAATTAAACCCGAGTATTGTTCGGGATATATGCTTGTCTCGTCTTCACAGTACATTAAATGACCTTGAATGTATAATCAGCTTAGCGGCATTATTTATAAAAGCTAGCATCCATGACAAAAACAATCAGTTCCTTGCAGTATTAATGATGGGGAAAGTTGTATTTAAGATCAATTTAAATTTTGTTTTGAACTCACTTTAAACCCTGCGAATTAGTTATCTAGGTAAGTACTTTTGATTGGTAATAGCTGTGTTCTCCGCCATATTTATCTATACGGGTACCTGGCTGTGTATACTAACACAGGTAAGTACCTGTTATATCTATTAACCAACTTGGCGAAAAATCAACACCTTTTGTCCATGAACTGAATTCGATACGTCGACCCTGTTTTATCAAATACTTTAGAATTGGATCCGATTTGAATATTGTGGTGAGGCGAAGCGTATGATGTCGTGAAACACCTGTATATGGTACAATGCTATACTCCCCAAGATGAACCCAGACACTGACAGAAATTACCATTGGTTTTGTGTTTCTTGTCTTTACGTAGGATGTATTGGAAATAGTTTTTAGGGTTTTAACGCCTAACATCTCTATACATGGTATATACTGTATATCTCGTTAATGCTTGGGGCCAAGAACGTGGAATATTGGAGATATGCTAAAATGATTCAACAAATGAGAAAACTTACCTCTCGGAAGCGCATAGGACCTATAGTGTAACTAATATTGAGAAGAAATTTAAAAAAAAACTGATTACATTGATGTTTTGTCTATCTCCAAACGGTGCCGGCAATACAGAACATAAAACAGAAAAACTGAAAAGAAAGACTTTTACACAATGACAGGAAAAACTATGATACTAAGTCTTCATTTAAACAAAAACAACGCGACTGTACAAAAGACACCAGTGTGTAGCACCATTTGATACAAATTTAGAATTAAGATACAGCAGGGGTAAATAATGAATTTACCTACATTATACAGCTGTTTCGTCATTCTAAGACTCGTCAGTAATGCTAAGGACCTACATTATAAATCCTAGGAAGCGAATGAGAAAATCCAAAGTGATCGAAAGAAATGTCGACATGTAGATGTAGAGAGCCACTAGCCCTGTATTTCAATAAATTTAATTTTCATGTATCTGATAATTACAGAAGAAACTCCAGTACATCTGTATGTTCTGAACCGTGCGGTTATTCACCTGTTTAAAGCGACTATCAATTGTCTGAGCAATGGACATGTAAGACATATTATTGGGAGTGTACCCCCCGAACAATTTAAAACATTTTCATGCATTTTATGTGCAGTTTTTTAAGCGAGAACGAGATGAGACTTCAGCATAATTCACAGTAAAAAATCGAATAATAATGAATTGATCAAACATTTGTCAGCTTATGATAAAATAAGCATGTGAATGAACCGTTTGAATTTTGACCAATCTGCTTGCTTTTATTTGGCTGTAAAATATG